CCTTTACAAATTCGCAACTTTAAAACTACCCGAAGCAGCAACTTAAAATTTTCCCCAAATTTAGAGGACACTTGGTTCGAAAGCTGGTGAACGTTTCATCAAAATCGACCCAAATCCCGATTTTTTCCAGCTTGGGAAACGTCGACCTCAAAATGTATGCTTTGCCTCAACTGCGCTCTTTCCTTCAAACATCTTTAAATTCTTCAATTTACTTTAATTAGTTATAAAACTACATTGCAAGTTTTTCGCTGTACTTATGGGAAAATCCTCAAAGGATTCCTGCTGGCAATATCGAGTGGCTGCTATTATTTCAACATTATGCTTACCTCAAAGAACTGAGGCGGCTCCCCATAGAAAGTCGAGCACCGAGTTGGCAAATATTATGATAAAATTTGCATTCCCGCAATGGCGAAATTAATTTAAGATACTCTGATACCCGGGATGTTCTTCATTAAACACGAATCATCAGTAATTAAAGTTGCATTTCCATTATCGCTGCACCGTTTGGAAATTACAATAATTCGATAGTCTCGGCGCGAGAAACTAAAGCGATTGGTTAAATCCGCACCACACAAATGACAATTTACGAACTTAAGTAATGCGTGTGTTAACAAACAGTTTATCAAAACGGATTCGTCATGCAAGTTACCGAGCATCGTGCAGCTCAAAATACGTACAACAAATCACTCCAAGCGTGTTTGCTTTTGGATGCAAATCCCCTTAGACATTCTTGTAATATATTATCAGAAACTCGTCATCCGCAGCTCTACTACATGAATGTAAAAATTTATCGCCCTGAAGCTTTAGCTGTCTCTAGTGAAACGATTCATGTTGTGTGGCAATTTATAATTTTATTTCAAATTTTCTGTTCGCGAAATCCTTTCCTTTATGTCGCTTTCGCCACCTACGCACTCAAATTTCCATATTTACGGTAAACATATGGCCGGTTTGCAGACGGTTATCGCCTGTAAATACAGCGGCACTAAATAAAGGCCTAAACAGCTTAAAACAAAAATACTAATGGAGAAATGTGGCAACATTTCGAACTGTGGAACTATCAGGCAAGTTGGGGATTTATAATTTCTGGGCGAGTTGCTAAACACTTTTCTGTCGCACGTTGGCAAATACACATACATGGCGAATAACAGACGAGTGAAACAAAATGCTAAAAGAAAATTTATCGTAAATAGGAAAAACCCAAAATTGCCTGCCTAAAAGCGGCATTTAGTCTCTCGGGAAGAAAATGAGCGATCGAGTCTCCAACTGGAACAATCGGGTTTTTTCTGCAAAAATCAATTTTCCGATTGGGAAAAACTGACTCAATGGGAAAAAAACTGATAAAACTACCCACTGCCAGTTAAGACTAAAGTCTCAACTACAGGCCTAAAACACATTAAAATACTAGACAATCGTTCACGAAAATCGCCCCCCAATTGCTGTTATTCCTTGCAGGTATTCCGAATGGGCGAAATAATGGGAACCCGATTCTATCCTTGCAACCCTTTCGTTTTCGAAGCCCGCAGGGGGATGTTGGAAACAAAACTTTCGCAAATCGAGCCGGAACTCTTTTGAATAGATGTAGGCCAAAAGACCGTTTTTCGAGCAGACCATGGGGAATCATTTGCATGCGATAATCCCGAAGGGGCACTTTCAAACACTTTATTTTTATGATTATTTTTACGTGTTTTCCTCCATTGCCGCTCCTTATGGCTGGAAGTGGGTTATATCTAAATTTGCCTCGGATAATTGCCCTAAGCAAACAAACAAGCGAACGATAAAATCGACACTTGATTAGAATTGGTTTGGGGTAGTTTTTCAAGGGGTTTTCGCTGCAGTTTTCCCTGTCCCAATCAATGAGGACTGAGGAAATTTCGGCTGAATTTCGGAAGTTAGTGCAGGGAATATTTGGTGAATTCCCTGAGCGGAAAATAGGGGCGGAAGTTTCCTGAAAGTTTTCCCAGTGGTTTGCATTGCACTCGACGCCTCTAGAGGGCATCAGGATTCAGTTAATGATTTTTCCTTGTAAAGATTTAGAAATCCATAAATAATTGAGGAGATTTCTGTGCTCTACATAAACACCAGTGAGAAAAGGTGGATGCACTTTAAGAAATGAGGGTTTGGGGGCAAGAGCCCCTAGTTATAGTGGAAAATAGATGTTTCGCTGGTAAAAAAACACTTAAAAAATCTTTTGATCAATCTCAGACGTTTTGAGCAAAGAACCGAAGTTTTTTACTAGCTTTATTAAATTGCTCTTTTCACAAAGTACATAAAAAAATGCGTACAATTTCGGCATAATTTTGCACCTCACGATATTTAAACGCTTTTTGTGTGAAAATTGCCGCTTTTTCTTTTCGGGTGTTTCTCTTACTAAATGGGGTTTCCAATGCTCTCAACACAGGCCCAAATGGTTCTTGAGATATACCGAAAAAGGCGGCCGCATTCGATTTGGCACTTTAAAAGGCAAAATGCAAATCGGGGACTTTCTTGAAATTTTTCCTGTTGGTGTGACTGTTCTTGAAATGTTTTCCGAGCGGCGCTTTGCTTCAAAAATGTGCCTTTTAGTCCTCTATCAAACGGGGAAGAACCGACTTTTCTAGCTTAATCTGCTCCGGAGAAATGAGGATAAAGGTGGCGCAATGCGAGAAAACTTGGCATAATCTTGTAACCAAATGTGCGCTATTTAACTTTCCCTTTTTGCGCCAAAACTTTCACTTTTTTCATGCAATTTTTTTTGGCCAAATGGGCTTCCTAATTTTCTATACATTGATAGGAGAACACCAGAAAAGGCGAGATCTTTCGCCAGCGAAATGTGAAAAATTAGGGCAGKRTTAGGCCAAAATTTCTTGTCTTCCGTCGCGCTTTTACTCATTTCTYGGAARCWAACTGAGCCAGAGCGCTTATTTTTACATTGCTAGAAAGAGCACTAAAGGGCGCTTTTAGATAGYGTTTTTTCCGCGCGCTGATTTAGGTACTTTGTAAATGTGCCGTTTTTTAGGTACTCAAAAAATGAGCGAAAGTGGCTTAATGCATGAAAATTGGCCTAATCTTGCGCACAAACGTGTGCAATTCAGTTTCCGTTTTGGTGCCAAACCTGCTTCAAAAAAGCAACGAAAAACAATGAAGCGAAGAAGCCAAACATAAAAAATCTATGTACTTTCAACGCAGAAGCTCAGTACAGTAATGCGACTTTAATTGATGGTTAAAATGCCATAATGAAAGGTGGTTGGATTCACGTTGCAGCAATCAATTATGCGCAATGAAAACAAACGGAGCAAATGACGAGAAAATAAATTAAGGCCGTAATCAAATCGATAGATAAAACAGCCAACAAGAAGCGACCGGACACAAGTTTTTCATGTCACGAAACTGTGTAATTATTGTAGCCGGGGGAAGTTGATAAATCTAGTTTCTAAGTAACAGTGACATAATCGTGCACTTTTGCTTTACAGGATGGCCAGCGAAAACAACCACCTGAACTAAAAAAGTGGGAGAACGAGCCTGACTCAAAAACTCACTAGGAATCAAGCCAAAAAGCCGTCTTCCCTGACTGGCTTCCTGGTTCCAATAAACCGGGCCACACTGTATCCTTCTTGAACAATCTCCTGGTTATATTGTGTGGACGTATTCACATCGATAGCATTCAGCTAGATTATACCAACGATAAAATTTTACAAGCTAAAACACTAGTCACGCATGTCTCTTCTGTAACTAAATTATCGCTTTCATGCCAGTGGCCATCCAGTTAGTTACCAAACCAATTAAAACCCGTAGATGTCCACATGGGTAAGATGGTGCGAAGTGAAGAGACCATCATCCGCCCAAGAAAACCAGTCTGGATGGCTGATCCAACCAAAGCAAGGGTTCCGATTTTTCAAATAGTTGACAACGACTTTGGGGCGAAGCGCTTCCAGGGGCTATCAAGGTAAAAGCTCGAGCTTTATTGTGGTTTTTTCTCTGCTGGAGATTTGGGGGATTTCAGTCAAAGCCTGCACCCACACCACCCGGTTGTTAAGGAGCACAAAGCCGTAGCAGACGCTTCTTCAGTGAAGAAGTTGCGGAAAACCGTGGTAAACCAGCTGGAAAAGTATTGCGAGAACACCACCCTGCATGGGCTCAGATACATCGGCGATTCCCATTTAACTTTCGGGGAAAGGTGACGCGAATCTCCACCGATTTTTGGGGAGTTTTAATTGAAAATCCTTGCAGGATTTTCTGGTTCATTTCCTTTTCCTTTGCCATCGGCTTCGCGTCTTACTACATCTCGAACATCTACGAAAAATGGAAATCTAGTCCAGTTATCACAAGCTTCAGTCCATTTGATGCCGATCTCAGCTCGATTCCGTTTCCTGCCATCACGATTTGCAACATGAATCAAGCGAAAAAGAACGAAGCTGAACGGATTTTGAGAGAAGGGCAAGTCGAGTTTTAAGGGTTTTGGTGGGTTTTTCAAACCAGGGCCAATTTGCAGGTCGGATGTTGAGAAGAAGCTTTTGGACGATTCCTGCAATGGCAACGCCTCGTTTGATATTACTGAGAACATCAGTTGGCAATCATTAAGGGACTTTTTAGTTAAGGTACTTCTGTAGCTCTACTTTTTCGGGCAAAAAACACCATTTGACCCCAATGAGCGATTTTATGCGACTTGCAGGTGGGAAATTCATGTTCAGATATGCTCAAATCCTGCCAGTGGGGAAGTCAATATGTGGACTGCGATGAAGTTTTTAACAACGATTTAACCGACGAGGGATTATGCTGTTCCTTCAACCGATTGCCTCCGAGTCTGATTTTTCGCAACCTGTAAGTAGCCAAACGACAACATTTGCTGAATTAACGTTTATTCAGAAATTTGACTGTTTCTAAAAAATCGGCCTTATTTTCGATTTCGCTGAGTTTGTACAGGAAAGTAGCGTGAAGTTTGGTTAGCAGGGGGCCCAGATTTCGAGGCGCTACTTGATTGAGTTGTGAAGCAACGATTTTTTTAAATGCGTGCACGCTTTTGCCCTTTGGTCATTATTGCGACAAACCTTTGAGGGACCTTGAAAACTTAATTTTCTCCTAGAATTGATTTAATTTTTTGCAGTAAGAGAAGGCATGTGTTTATAGTAGATGAAGGAAGTTGCAAGTTGCTGCTTGATCAGGAGGAGAAGCTACATTTTTTTCAAAATCACCTGCTCTGGTCTCCCAAGACAAAATCAGTTTTTTCCTTGATTTTACTGGGATTGTCCAGCCCAAAAAGGCTGATTGGCAAAGTGAACTCTCCGTTAAGTAAAACTGTAAACTTTCAAGTTGCTGCTTGTATAATTTGAGCAGCAACGAATTTTTATTTGCTTTAAAGTTATCGTTTTAATTTTGCCTCTCTCGAGATTTACATTTGGCGGCTCCTCAAAAATCAGTCGTTCCTTCGATTAAGCTGGGTTTTTGCACAACCATAACACCATGCTTTCTGAGCAGATTTTCCAAATTTTAAGTTGTTACTCGATTAAATTTTGAAATAACGATTTTTTTTAATCAACGTGCCCTTTTTGTGTCTGCCGCTCTTAAGCCTGATGTTTGACGGTTTCGACAAAATCAGAGTCATCGTAGACTTAACTCAATTTTTGTATGAAAAAACTTCGAAGCTTTCTGAGTAGATGCGCCAAATTTTAAAGTGGTCCTTAAATAAGTGTCAAAGCAAAGATTTTCTTTAAAAAATCCGTGCGCACTTTTCCTCTGCATCACTCTCGAGTCCACACTTTACGGGGTCCTAAAAAAACAGTTTTCTCTTTTAATTTGCAATTTTTTGCCAGGTTAATAGAGACGTATTGTTAGTAAATAGACTAAATTCAAAGTAGAGGCTTGTTCAGGTTCAAAAGCAACGAATTTTTCTTTCAATCGATGTCCAAAAGCCCAACATTTGTTTTGTAAACCTGCTTAATTTCAAGTTTGTACATGATTAAGTGGTTACTATAATAAAAACTTTTGCTCTATTTCTCTCGAGGCCAGTGTTTAAGGGTTCTTTAAAAATAATTTTCTCGTTTAATTCACACATTTTTCGCACGTAATTACAGACAAATATTTCTAGTAAGTGAAAGAAGTTGTAACTACTACCAACTTGATCAGATTGAGAAGAAACGAATTTTTCTTTAATCGACGTCGAATTTTTATTTTTGCCGCTCTTGGCTTTCAGCTTTTGACTTCCCAATGAAAAATCAGCCTTTCTTTCAATGTGACTACCTTTTGCCACCAAAAGAACTTGAAGTTCTCTAAATAGACCGACGAAATTTCAAGGTGCTACTTTATAGAGTTTGGAAGTTTTGATTTTTTTGACATCATTATTTACTTTTAAGCTTGCCGCGGTTGAGCGTGAATTTTAAAGGTTCCTGGAAAATCAGTTTTACTGTGAAATGAACAGCGTTTTTGCAAAAACCAAGTTCAAAGTTTTCTTAGTTGAGCGGCTAAATGCCAAATTGCTCATTTAGGACGTTTTAAAGCAACGGTTTAAAAAAAAACTGTGTAAACTTTCTCTATCTATTTACCACTTTTGAGACCCAACTTTGAAGGCTTCTGAAAAATCAGTTTTTTTCTAGAATTTACTGAAATTGTTCGACTAAAAGGGCACCTTCATTCAAAGTGGATGACGAAAGTTACAAGTTGCTGCTTGTTCAGGCTGAGAAGAAACTAATTTTTCTTTAATTCGATATTCTATTTACATTTTTGTCGCTCTTGTCTTTCATCTTTGACTGTTCCTGACAAATCAAGCGTTTCTTTGATTTTTCTGAACTTCTGCCAAGAAACAGGGCCAGACGTTCGCAGTACTCGGGGGAAATTTCCAATGGCTGTTTGCTTAACTTTCGAGAAGACGTATTTTTTTTAATCGAAGTTACGTGTAACACTCTGTACATCGCATTTTTGCGTCCATATTATGCCAACACTCTGTATATTCCACCCGAAAATGCAAATGGCAGATTTGGCAATTTTCAAACTTTCAAAACATTAATGAACAAAAACACCACTTTTGCAGGAAGGATATTAGCATTTTAAACCAAACATTCCCCAATAATGTCTACGATTGGAATGCGGAAAAGGGCTTTGAAGATGCGGAATATGGAGAATTTACCATTCCTAGAAGACCACTTGGTAAGACTGTTCACAAGCTAAAATAAGCAAATTTACAAATGTTTGCTTATTTTAGGGGCGGGAGCTCATTTAGGACTGTCTGTAGTGTTGGATGCTCAGGTCGCCAACTATCACTGCTCATCAACTCGCAGCATTGGATTCAAAGTAAGCCGAAAAAAGAACAAAAAACTTAAAAACGCTTGTATAAAATGACTTTTTTCTGTAGGTTATTTTAGCAAATCCCATTGAAACTCCAAAAATGGCCGATTTCGGTTTCCTGATTAGCCCAGGCTTTGAAACTCGTGTTACAATCGAGCCTTCAGTCCGGGAAGCGACCGAGACCTTAAGGGATGTGGCTGTTCAAAAAAGACAGTGCTATTTTTCCAACGAACGCCCTTTGCAGTATTACCGGTAAGTCGACTTACCTTCCAAATTTCGCGTTAAATGTACTTACTTTCTATTAATTGCTGATAACTTGAGGCAAATTAATCGGCTTCAAATTCCTTAGTTCCCGTAGAAATTTTGTCTCGGGCTCGAAGTTTTTAGAGCTATTTTAAGTGAAAGTGATTATGAAAGTTTCCTTTCCACTCTCCAACGGTAAGTATGAGGAATTCATGAAAATTTTAAATACATTGCAGGCAATACATAAAGAGGCATTGCCAATTGGAGTGTATGTCAAAAGAGTTTTTATTCAGATGCGGGTGTATTCCATACAGCCTTCCTAGTGAGTATCTCAGAAACCATCAATTTTTTGAATGATTTATGCGGCAGATTTGATGAGCGAATTTTTGCAGGAAATGGAAGTGTAAGCTTCCACTTCTGCCAGCAACAGGACAAATGCCTGAAACGAATCAGGGGTAAGTGAGCTTTTGCTGGGGAAGTTCCCAGAAAATATCGCAGTAGAATTTGATGTTTCCTACGTGTATGTGTATTCATATTACAGGATTAATTGACAGGCAAAACCATTTGGTGAATAATACCAACATCTACAAAAGGTAAGTGAAAATTACGTCTTTGTCGCGCTTGATTCGAACTTTGGCTGTTCCTGAAAAATCAGTCTTTTGGTGAATTTTACTGGGTTTTTGCAGCCGAACAGGGTTCTGTGTTCTTAGTGGCCAGACAAAGTGCGAAATGTCTAGTTCACCAAGTTCCGGAGCAACAATTTTTTCTTCTGATGTCGGCTTTTTATTTTTACTGACTAATATTTGAACGTTTCTTGAAAATCGGTCTTCACCTCGATTGGACTACAATTCTACCCCTACAGACAGTCAGATGTCCTTAGTCGACTAACACAATTTCAAGTGGCTACTTGCTCACATTTTGAAGCCGCCCAATTTTCTATGTTCAATGTTCATGCCTTATTTTTGCTTCTCTTAAAACTTTTGACTGATCGGGAAAAATCAGTTGGTGTTCAGATTTTGTCGAAATTTTACACGCAAACAGAGCTAAGTTTTTGTAGTAGACGGAAGTAAAACTGCAGATGCTGCTAATTAGGTTTTGACGCTATGAATTTTTTTAAATCGATGTACGCTTCTCAACTTTGCCGCTTTAAGACGAGCGTTTGTCGATTCCTAAAAATTCAGGCTTTTCTATGATTGGACTAAATTTTAACACATAGAAAGGCTGAGGTTTGTTGAATAGTTGGACAAAATTTCAAGTGCCTACTTCATAGGGTTTTGAAGCAATCAATTCTTATTGTATTAAACATTTCCGGTTTTCATCTTTAGTGCTCTTGAGTCTAAAATCAGTTTCTGCAAAATTAATTTATCATTCAATTCCACTGAAATTTTGCACGCCAAGAGAATCGCCCGACTTCAGCTGATACGCATAATTTTCAAAGAATACTTGATCAGATTTTGAAGTAAAGAATTTTTCTTTTAATTGATAGTTCTTGAGATTTTACGTCTCCTGAAAAAATCAGGCTATCATCGATCGAACTGAATTGGCTTGGTGGTAAAAAAATGCAAATTTTTTTTAGAAATCCTGTTCAAATTTAAAGTCGCTACTTAATTAAGTTTTTATGCCAAGATTTGAAAAAATGCGTGTGCACCTTTCGGCTTTATCACTTTTGAGCAAACTTTGAAGTTCCCTAAAAAATTGTTTCATCTTAAAATTGATCGAGTTTTTTCCATAACAAGAAGCCAAGTATTGCTAATAGATAAAGAAAAGTGCAAGTTCCTGATTGATCCAGTTAAATAGTAGTGCATTTTTTTAAGCGGTCTCCCAATTTCATACTTGCCGCTCTTCCTATTCAACTTTTGACTGTCTCTGAAAAATCAAATTTACCTTCGATTTAGCTGAAGTTTTCGGCCAAAATAATCTACAGTTTGTTTAACCGTTCTGCCAAATTTCAAGGTACTACCTGCAAAAATTTTGAAGCACTCATTTTTTGAAAAATTTGTGTGCACTTTTCCTCTTTATCACTATTGGCTTTGAGCCAATAGTGATAAAGATAAAAAATTAATTTTAGCGGACAATTGACTGATTTTTTCTGAGCAAAAGATTACAAATATTCCTAATATACAAAGAAAACTGCAAGTTGCTGCTCAATTGGATTCAATAAAAACTAATTTTTCTTTCAGTCGATGTCCTTTTTATCTTTGTCGCTCTTGTCACTCGACCTTTAACTGCTTCTGAAAAATCAGTCGTTACCTGGATTTGGCTGAATTTCTGAAGGTAAAGAGGGCAGGCTCTTGGTAGCAGTCGGCTAAAATTTAAAGAACCTACTGAAGTAGATGTTGAGGCTAAACATTGTTTAAATCGGAGCCGCGGCGCCCCATCTTCTATTCATCAGGCCAACTTTCAATAAACTCCTCATTCTCAGTTGATGCACGGCCTCAACTGAATTTTTCCCCATAAAGAGCTTCGGGTGTTCTTCTTAGAGACTTGCATTTCGAAGTTGCCCCTAAATCGGAGTTTTGGCGTCAGCAATTTTTCAAGCATCCAGTTTTCCAGGTTCTTGGGACCAGTTCCACACGCTCTAAAAAATCGTTTTTTGCTTTGATTAAACTGAGTTATTTCAGGTTAAAGGAACCAAGTGCTCTTATATCACGCCCAAAATTTCCAATATGTACTTTGGCGTGTTTGGAAGTTACGAATTTTTTTAAGCGACCTCCACTTCCAAATCTCTCACTGATGAGACTGACTTTTGACGATCGCAGAAAGCGCTATTTTAGCCGGAAGGAGTCGCAATTTCCCACAAGCAAAAACAAAAGTGTCCTTGACAAAACATGAAAGAGTTTATGTTTTCATGAATCTTTAAATTTTAATTTTTTTTTTATTTTCATTTTCACGACCAGCGGCGCCCAATTCACAAGAAAATACCATTAAAAACCAGATTTCTGAATGTTTCACAGGCTTAAACAGTGCAACTGTTTGGACAACTGTTTCGAAGTGAGATATTCCTTCCAGCGATCCACATCGATTCTCTATGAGATCGATCCGATCGCCAGACAATCCATCGATAAACTCTACTCCACCAATTACATACGGTAAACTTCCACGTATCCAGAAAACTTCCAGAAATATCCAGGGGGTTGTTTGCAGAACCAATCTGGCCAAGGCAGACTTTTTCTTCACAACTAATATACTTCGAACGGTCGAAAGAAGGTCGTTGTATAACTTCACCGATCTTGTAGGTAGAGTGGAAACATCGCATAATCTGAAGCAACTGGCAAATAAAACGGGAATTTTTAGCCCTTTCAGGAGGATTGCTGGGGTTCTTCACTGGTTTCAGCCTGATCAGTGGCGCCGAGGCGTTTTTCTACCTCATCTGGATATCATGGAAAAAGTACTTTCATAGGCAAAGACGCCAGGCTCAGCGCGATTTTCTGATCTATCAAAGACAACCTTTTCTGAACTAGATTGACTAACTAGGCATAAGACCTGTTGTGTGAATATACGGACATTGAAAATGTCGGAGTACTTTTTTCTTTAACCTCCAGATACTCCTTAGGAAAGTGACCGTTTAACTAGCAGAAGCGGCTTGGATTTTTCAGGCACTATACGCAATTGAACTGCTTGCAAGAGTGTCTATCCAACAGCACATTAAGCGCCTGCCAATGCATTCCATACTATCTTCCAAGTAAGTTGCACATTCTACCTAATTCTAGGCGTTGATACGGATGGTTTTAGGGAACAACAACATTCCCTACTGCGGCAGGGAGAATTCTGAGTGTTTGCGACATGTGGATATCGACGTGAACGACCTGAAGAATGGGAGGTAAAGAACTGCGAGTTTAAAGAAACTTAAGGGAGAACTTTGAAATAGTTTTCTAGATGGAAGTTGCCAATGCAAACCGCTCTGCGCTGGATTAACGTACAACTGTTTGCTGTCGGAAAGTTTCCTTTTTCCGCACGAGTTCCAAAGATTCAATATTTCACGCAGTAACATCACCGAGTATGTTGCAGACTTTTCTTCGAAAAATACGGCGTCCATAAGGCGACTTTTCCATTTCAGCTTGGCCAGCATGCAGTTTTACTTCTCCCAGAAAGCTACCCAGAAACAGGTGAAAAACTTCCTGTATGGATTTTCGGAGATTCTTTGTGAGTCTCCAGCCCAACCAAAATTAACCGAGCGTTGATGTTAATCATTTGCTTTAGCGAACTTTGGAGGTCTTTTGGGCATCTTCTTGGGTCTGAGCTTTCTGTCCATCATCGAAGTTGTTTATTTTGCCGTTTTGAGGTTGGTTTGCAAGTACGCCAAAGAGAAAAGAAACGCGCATCAAAAGCGTGTTGTTATGTTTCAACCCGACGAAGACCCTGAGGGTGAAAACAGAAGATTTTGAAGCCCCAAATGAAGATTTAAGCCAACTGTACCTTTGGCAACGCCCTTAGCACTAAATATAATATATTGCATTAATAAATATACTAAAGAATGTTCTAAAAGACCAAAAAATACATGCCTTTAAACGGAAAATCAACATTTTAATTCCCCAAAAGCTCGCTTTTCCATCCATCACTCCGCGTCCTTTTCCGCCTGGTCAAACAATCCCACTTGAATTAATCAATTAAAAGGGCGGAATAAGGAGTTAAAATAAATTGACTACCTGATAATCAATCAACCTGGATTAAATCGAACTTTAATGCATGATATATCTGCACTTTTCAGATTCTATTCCCAGAGAAACTGCCTGCTAGAGTGCCAGTCGAACTACACATTGAACTTATGTGAATGCGTGCCTTACTATCTACCCAGTACGTCTTACAAAGGTTTCTTGGCCAGTTTTGCTCACTTGCTTTCTTTTGCAGAAAACAAGCAAATAAAATACTGCGGGAAAATTGAGAAGTTTTGTGTGGAAACCGCGAAAAACGATATGGAAACTGTGGTTGGAAATGGGTATGAAAGTTGCCAATTTGATGGGAAATTCAATAAGAAACGTGGTTTTTAGCTCGAACTGCAACTGTCTGCCTTCATGTTTTTCCACCCAATACACCGACCTCAAATCATACGCTAAACTATCCGACAAAATATCTACCGCTGATGATTTTCCACCAGTCTCTTCAAAATATTTCACGTTAGTCTTGCATGTGTCTCTTCACCCCATTCTAGTGCAAGAACTTTTAGGCAAAATATGGCAGTGGTTCAGTTCTATTTCTACAATTCAAAGTTTACCAAGGAGCTGAAGAGCCAGCTGTATGGATTCACCGAAATTCTATGTATGTAACCGTCAGAAAATTAGTTTGTATTGTTTTTTTCAAATTGCTTTTCAGCCAATGTTGGAGGCTTATTGAGTCTCTGCTTGGGATTCAGTTTCCTCAGTTTGGTGGAAATTTTCTACTTCATCACTTTGCGACTTTGCTGCGAAGTGTTCCACAGGAAAGTGACGAGGAACCAGAAACTTATTCCATTTTTGCGGTAATCGTCCAATAGCAGCAGATCAAGAAAAATATGAAATAGCCACAACCAATAGAAACTGGGATTTTTCAAACACTCAAGCACCAAGCAATAGAATAACAGTAATGTTAATGAGAATTTCACTATATTAAATTGCGTTTCTTGTTGTATTTGGTGACTGTTTCAAGTGCCTACTTGCCCTTGTTTGAGAGTTGAGAATTTTTTAAAGCGAGCGGGCTTTGGATGAACACCGTCAACTTGAGGCTGTTCAATCAGGATTTAATGCATTTTTAATAAAAATATTACCATTTTATGCCTGTAATGTTGGCTATAGATGGTGATAACTTCAAGTTGTTACGTGCTGTATTTTGATTGAAGGGTGCGCATTTAAGTTAAAGGGTAGAAACTTTCATTTGGGATTATTATTTACCTAGTTGGCAAAAATCAGACTTTAGTGCAATTTTTATCAAAAGTTTCTCGGATGAATCCTGAAGTACTGGTTGTAAACGGTGAAATTATCCAGCAGCTACTTGTACCTGTTTGGAAGTTATGAATTTTTGAACGACAGCGCTCAGCAGGGTGAGCACTTCCATTTTGAGACTGTTCAGAGAGGGTTCGCAAAAAGCACATTTTAGTGCGATTTTTGGACAAATTGAAACTAATGAAGTCTCAAGTGCTGGCAGTAAGTGGTGAAAATATCAAGTTGCTACTTGAACTTGTTGGGGAGCTACACAGTTTTAAAAGAACTCAGACATCAGGGTGGAACCTTAATTTTGAGGCCGTTTTTAATAAGTTTCGCAAAAATCACGATTTATCGCTATTTTAATGAAAACTTTCTCAGGTTGAGATCCACTCGTTCCCTGCTTGCAGTAAAAATTGTAAGTTACGACACCACTTAGTTTAGAAGTTACGAATTTTTCAAATAAAGCTCCCAGCTGTGCGCAAACTTTCATTTTCATACTGTTTTTTAGAATAGAGAGTTGGCAAAAATAAGATTTTAGCTCCATTTCTATAAAAAATCTCACAATTGTAGCCCCAACTATTGGCTATCAACTGTGAAAATTTCAAATGGTAATTTGTCTTAGTTTCAGACGTCAGATTTTTTGAAGAAAGCAGAAACCGGAGCAAAAACTCATTTCGGAACATTTGTGCTAAAGTTCAGCTTGGCCCACTTAAAGTGCAAAAATTAAAAGATTTATTGAGTTTCTGATATATTTTTATAAATGTCTAAAACATATCTAAGCCTTCTTTCTCTGGCTGGCTACTGTACGGAATAAATTATTAACATAACGTGCCTTAAATGTAATTAAATCATTCTTTCACTAGTAGAAACCCCCTTTATACATACATGCATCTAAAACTGTATTTTTTTGTAGAATATCGACACAAAAATAGTTTCAAAGTCCTTTTTGAGCACTACACTCTATGTACATATACACGAGTAAATCACATTATTAAGTAGTTAAACGGTACTTATTGGGAAAATATGGTTTATTGCACTAGTTTTTCGGAATTCAACTAATATATGCGGTTGGCAACAATTTGGACTAGAGTTTTACAGGTTTTCGGCATTTTCCACTCCTTCCTCACTGATGCCCTTAAACGTTAAATCATTGAGCTGAAATTTCCTCACAAAATCGTTCACAGTTTCTGAAGTGATTTCCGTTCCATCATCCATTGTGGCATATCGTCTGTTCGGAATATCGATGGCTACCAGCAGGGGAACCACATCATCTAAACCGATTAAATCTCTAAGAATATCCGTAGATTCGTTATCAGTGCCGATGAGGAATTGCAGAAAATTGTCCTCCTGGTCGCAACTGGAAAACAGACGATCTTCCGGAATGGCCGAGATGTTAATGTTGTTCATTTTGTAGTAGTTATTCGCTGCAGGCATCACAACAGATTCAGCAAACTGGATTTCAGTTTCCTCCGAGTCTGTAAATTTCAGTTAATCCAACAGGCAAAGTTATACCAGCAGGCAAAAACTCACCAACAAACAAAACGATGGCTGGGAAGTCATGGAGTTTGGTCAAGAATCGGTCGGTCAGAATGTTAACAGCTCGGGGCTTCCACGGAAAGTTCTACAATTCGAATAAGCAAAAAAGCTAAGAAGTAACTGGCAAACTTCACCTGAGCTAGAGGATCTTCCACAATCTCCGAGCGCGCATCCATGGTAATCACATGGCCGTTGCTGTCCAGTAGAAGAAGAGTTGGGATGCCTCGGATCCCATAAAGCTGCGCCAATTCAGCCCTTACCGATGCCTGTTGGAATGGTATGGAAAGCCATGGCATGGATTCTACATAGAGGCTGTAGGAATCGGCACTTCTACAAAAAATGAGTTTCTTTATTAGTGGTTGTTTCAAGTTTAACTGGAGGAATTGGTGAGTTTTCAGTTCAACTTTGATTGACATGGAAAAGCTTGTTTCAGAAAGTCTCAGTTTTTTCTGTTTGCAACGCAGAAAAACTGCTGAATCCTGTATTAGACAGCTTTTTTGCGATAAGCGCAAACAGAAAAATCGCGATATAAGTTGACCAAACTGAGTTTGACTTGGGAAATGCTGTTTTAAACAGTCTTCTTAAGATAACTCAAGTTTGAAATTTTCACTCTTTCGTTTTCTTTACGATATGACATGTTTGGCAATTTTATTTGCAGTTTTTATGTGTTGCGGACAGAAAAAAACGTGATTTAAATTTGAACCAGATTTTTTCCAATCTGAGTTTGGCATGAAAAATCGTGTTTTTCCGCGGATTTCTGTCATAAAAACAGAAAAATCGCAGTTTCCATTTTAACCAGAAACTGGCACAAACATAGTTTCACCTGGAAAATCCTGTTTAAAAGTAGTTTTATTATAAGTCAAGTTTGGGAAATTTGAACCGCGGTTTCCCTCTGTTGGATACAGAAAAATCGCGATTTAAATTTCAACCAAAAAATTCAGTTTGGGATCACAAATCCTGATTTAAACAGTTTTTTACGATAAGCCTTGGTTGAAAATTTTAATTGCGATTTTTCTGTCTTGCAAACACGAAAATCGGGATTAAAATTTGAATCCCAAAGTGAACCAAACTATTGAAATCAGGATTTAAAGCAGGAAGTCAAATTTGGGTGACTGAAAATTTCAATCGCGGTTTTTCTGCGTTGCATACAGAAAAACCGCTATTTAAATTTAATCGAAAAAATGATGAAATTGAGTTTGGGATCCGAAATCCTAATTCGCGGTGGTTTTTCTGTGTTAAAAACAGAAAAATCGCCATTTAAATTTCAAACAGAAAAGTAACAAAACTAAGTTTGACATGGGAAATTCTGCTTTAGATAGTCTCCTTGACAATAAGTCAAGTTTGAAGTTTTTAATTGAGGTTTTTCTGTGCTGGAAACAGAAAAATTGGGGTTTAACTTTGAAACAAAAAAATTGATTTAAGTGAGTTCGAGATCGGAAATCCTATTTTAAATAGTTTTCTTTACGATATGGCATGTTTGAAAATTTCAATTGCGGCTTTTCTGTGTCGGAAACAGAAAAAAAACGAAACAGAAAAATCGCGATTGTCACTTGAACCAGAAAATTGATCAAACTGAGCTTGACATAAAAGTCTTGTATTAAACAGCCTCCTTTACCTTAAGCGATGTTAGGAGTATTTAACCGCTCTTTTGTGTGATAAAAACAGAAACATCGCGATGTAACTTTGATGCAGAAATTTGATTAAACTGAGTTTGACAGGAAAGTCTTGTATTGAACAGTCTCCTTTACGAGCAATGTTTGGCAATTTCAACCGCTGTTTTCTGTGATGAAAACAGAAAAATCGCGATGTAAATTTGATGCTGAAACTTGTTGTAAAAGTCTCCTGACGATTAGCCAAATTTAGAAATGTAAATCGGGGTTTTTCTGCTTTGGAAACAGAAAAATCCTGTTTTAAACAGTATCCGTGACGATAAGCCAAATTTGGAAATGTAAATCCGGGATTTCCTGCTTTCGAAACAGAAAAATCGCGATTCAAATTTGATGCAGAAAATTGATTAAACTGGGTTTTACATGAAAGTCTTGTATTAAATAGTCTGCTTGACGAGAAACCAAAAGTGGAAATGAAAATCGGGGGCTTTTTGCTTTAGAAACAGAAAAATCGTGGGTGAAATTCGTAGGTACCAGAAAATTGATCCTACTGTGTTTGACATGAAAAAAAATTTTGTATCAAACAGCCTCATTTACGCAAAGCGATGTTTGGAAATTTCACCCTCGGTTTTCCGTGATAAAAACAGAAAAATCGCGATTTAAATTCAAAGCAGAATTTTATTTACACGAAATATTCCAATCTAAACAGCATCCTTGAGCCTCAGCTAAGTATGGAAATTTCCATCGCGGTTTTTCTGCGTTAAAATACTAAAAAAAGAATCAGAAAACAAGACAGTTATCATAAAAGTAGCCATAGTTTCAGAACAAAACCAGCCACAGTTTCACCCAGAGTTTCATTGGACGTTCAAAGCGCTGAAACTTCTGCTAAAAAATTCATGCTTAATGAGCTTTCGGCACGACGCCTAAAGTGACATTACTGGCGCCTGGCTTGGGGAATGGGGGGATGTAATGAGACTATTAGGACCCCTGTATCCATGGCGACGGGGCTCCATGTATGCCCATAATCCACAAGGGGGGTTTACACGTGAATAATTAGTGGCCGACACAAAAGAAAACCCACGACGTTTCAGGAAGATGAGCCGATATGCGGTTCATTATTAGATGAGAGGTTGGCGTACTTTGGAAGGTTTTTACTTGAAAATTTCATTCAGTAGCAAAACAGCAATGTTCTTGCCATAAATTGGTTGAGGCTCATTTCCTCTCGCCTAATGAGTCAATTTAATGAAAACCAGGCAGGAAAGGGCTTGGATTAATTAAGTGTAAAATATGGCTGCAGTCATTTGCATCCTGCCCCTTTACTGATTCCATAAATTGGCCACCAAGAGGTAGAGAGAGTGTGAGACACCAGCAATTCGATCAACTTCGTTGTGGAAGTTCTGGAAAAACCGACCTGGATTTACCCTGAACGGTTGCATTTCCAGGGCGGAATCAATTCGGGCAGCATCAGCGATTCGCCCTCATTATTCTATTGAATGCGTATTGCATATGGCGATATAACAGTCGGCAATAACTGGAATTTACTAAGCTGGATCATAGTGCAAACATCCATAGATTTTATTTTGACTGGATGTTGCCAAACTATGTGGATAATTGAGAAATACTGGCAGAGAGTGGAAACAGTGTCGGGGGATAATTGTTTCCTCATTTTCCATTGTTGTTTCCAGAACCTTCGCTGTGGTTCCAAGTCTTCGACTTGGTCCTTTTTTTTAACTTCGCAATTAAAAACGTCTGTTTAATTACGGAAATTGAGGTCGCAACTCCATCCATATATCATCCAGGCAATTTCCTCCTCTGCTGCCATTTGCCGCCTCAATAAATTGAGAGATAAAATATTTTATAGGATATTTCGTTGCTTTCTCACAGCTCAGGGCGATTCCTCTTTATCGCCGAGCCAGATGCCGCTTTTTCATCCCCTGGAATAGTTATGGGGGGCATTTGGGGATGGAATTGGTATAATATAATCTGGGCAAGCTGATTATATTGGCAGAGTTGGATTGGAGGAATCGATTTTTTTGCAACAAGGCAACAAAGCTGAATTGAACAAAATGTGTGAAAACCCTCGGTATCTAGGGATTTTTCCTGATCCGGCTGTTTTTCTTGTCTTTGTTCCTCGTAACATTCACTATCCATAATTTTCATTATTTTATTGGCTGCCTATTGCCTAAAACTGGATAAATTTGACCTAAAACCCCGCTTTCCCCAGTTGGCTAATGGACGAAGTGGAAAAACAACAACAAGCAAGTTCCCCAAATGTTTTCCCAATTTATTTACAACATGGAGCGCGTTAAGGCTCTTGAGGAAAATTTATTGCTGCGGCCGTTCCATGTATACGTCAGTGTGCTGTTCGGCAGAGAGGCAAATAAAAGGAAATTACTACACTTAGCCCGAAGTTTGTAGGGAAGTTTGCAGCTAAATGAGCGGAAGTTTAATTTCGTCCTCGCCTTGGCTAGTTGCAGTAAATGGCTTGCAAAGACAATGAGGGCTTAGTAATAGACTAAATGAATTCTCCGTTATATGATCTGGCCAATTTTGGCCCCAACTTTTCACTGTATTAAACCGGAGGATCCAGCTAATGGTTTAAGATGAAACTGGCTGGACGAGATGAAGTCCAAGAACCCACAAACGAGAAATAAAAGCTTTCCTGGCTAAAACATTGATTTTCCTGTGTTTTTATTTTTACTTTACTCCATATCAAAACCGTCGAGCCCATTTCAAGTTTGTGGGTAGTTTACGGGCGGCATAATATAAAACGCCCAGATAAGCCCGGCTTTTGTGCCAGGAAAGGCCTGATAATCTTCTGGATGCTAAAGCAGTATAAAGTTGTTATTGGGAAAAGAGGCGCCTGTCCTCATAAATTCTGCGGCAATTTAAAATGTATTTTTATTCTACATTGTTTCACTGCATGGTTTGCGAATGTGAATTATATTATTTGAATATCCGTGTGAATATAAATTTAAATACAAATATCTGTCTTATTCATCATGGTGAAGTTGGTGATTTTGAAAAACCCATCAATTTCTTGCAAGATTGTTTCCATTTTTTGCAAAAAAGGCTGATTTTCTGGGAAAAAGAGGGTTTGGTGTACTGTTTGCAAACATGTTCCTGCTGGTTTGCGCAAATATTTTTTTACGCGGTTACTGACAGTGCGCGGTTCAATGCGTTAAAGTTTTAAAAAATTCGCCGAATTTTTCCCTTTCTTTGCAAAAATTTTCCATTTGGTTTGAATGCGAATGAACAACCTTCTGTCGCTTTAGGGTTTTTTTCCTGTCCAATTGTCTAGTTCTTTGGGCAAAAATGCCATTTTAGCAGGATTTGGTAAAATGCGCTTATTGATGAATTGAGGAAAACTGCCGATTTTATCATATCAAATTCTTCTCTGTGGTCTTTATGCCAGTTTTTTACCAAACACTTTACCGGACAATGCGCGCTTCGTTCCGTTTAAATTTCGAAAATTAGCGGAGTTTACTTTTTTCTGGCAAAAAAATTACAATTTTCTGGGAAAAACTTCAATGTTTTGTAATATTTTACTGCCGAATTTGCGATTTTTAGGCCAACCTTTACCAACTAGTTTCGCTTCCGTTAAATTTCAAAAATTTGCAATATTTTGCCATTTCGGTGCAAAACATTGACGACTTTCCGAAAAAATTATGTTTCTCGCCATAATTTCTCGAGTTAAAAGTATTTTTTTAAGTGGAAACGGTCAAAGAACGGCAAACTCGTTCAAATGCTCTTATTAAAGCCTTTATTATTAAACAATGCTCACACTGAAGGCTTTTGAAGGGCACTTCCTTGGCTTATTTAGGGATCTTAGGCCTTAACGTCTTTCTTTTCTAAAATCAATCAGTCCATTGTTAATGGCTACATAAGAAGGAATGTGAATGATTTGCTGAATCTAAATTTGAAAAAAACGCAATTTTTTTAAATTTTTGCAAAAAAATGCCGGTGTTCTAATAGACAAAAATGTCTCTGTCATTTTCTAGTGTTTCTCTGGCCGGTTGTGCGAGCTTTAGGCCAACTTTTAGCCAAACAGTTTACCATGACAGTGCGCGCCTCGCACCGTCTAAATTTCCGAAATTTACGGGATTTTTTCATTTCTTTGCAAAAAAATTACGATTTTCTCCAAAAATGATGTCTGCTTTGCCGTTTTGTGCCATTTTCCGGCCAGTTGTGTGACTTCGAGTGCAAAAACGCGATATTTGAAGTTGGAAAACCGTCTGACGTTTGCTGTCAAGTCAAGCTGTCAGTAGTTGAAATGGCCTACTATAGTGAGGACAAATGTTGACATGACAAAAGGTTTGACCCCAGCGGGAAAAGGTAAGAAATTTACAAATATATACAGGATGAGTCAACATTAGGGTCACTTTCAAAAGAGGAATTTGGGATTGTTGAAACTTGCATCCCTTGAAGCTCCAAAATTTACTCATTTATTCGCACTTTGCATCCATTTTTTTCACCTCTTCACTCGATTGGTTCTTGCAAATCTTCCAAGCTTAACAAACAGGGCGTCCCAAAGCAACCTTGTGTAAGTTGAACGTACCAAAGCTCCTAGCTCGATAACAATCGCACAAATACAGCTCGGACTATGAAATTTCTGAAAATGCTCCCTCATATCTCCCCCTTGCAAGGCAATTGGAGCCTCAAGCCCCATATATTGGCAATTGCCCTCCGAGGTAAATCCACCCGTAAGCGCAGCACGCCCCCCAATTTAAACCTAAATACAAATTTCCATCGTGGGGTGTTATTCGAATACAGGGCGCGGCAGAGGAGATTAGGATTTCTCCTATAATTAGGCAGCCGGTTAATGTACCGGCATAGACCGGGATTAGCCGGAATATCATTAAATGGGGAAGGTTTACGTTGGAATCGATTTTTTCCCCAACTCTCAGAGTCAAGGAAGCAGTTGAATTTAACGAGGCCCCAGCCCGGTGACTTTGAGGCTAATTAACGTGTTTAATTTAATTAAAAATGAGGCCTTTTGCGCTGAAGAACCTCTAGAAATAAAAACGAAAGGAACGAGCCAAACTCATCAACATGGATATCAAGTTGGAAGCGCCAAACTAACGAAGCTGGAAGTTTCTTATTAAAGCAGTGCGATAACGAAAAAAACCTTTTGAGTGGCTGTAAAAGACTCACCTGTCACTGGACACGAAAATTACTTCAAAGTTTGGCTCCCGCTTCCTGATCAGTTTATACACGTCGGCCAAATGGGGAGTAAACGCCTTGCAAGGTGGACACTGAAGGCATCAAAAACCAAATTCATTAATAAATTGACAAAACCAGTGATTCATAAATTCCAGTTTGGGTTAAAAACCCACAATTTTCCTGCTAAAACTGCTCAACTTACCCAGTGAGCGGAAAAATAGAATCCTCTCACCCCATCCGGTAAGTCGCTGTAGCGAATGTCCCCCTGTATGCAATTCGGGTGGTCTTGGTAGTAAATCCTTCCGGCCTGCAGCACCACGTCTTTCAGCACCTGAAACGGTGTTTTATTAGGTGTTTTTTTAGGGAAAAAATGGTTTTTACCTCGTCAACCGGTCGCGGCCGCCACGGAAAATTGGTACCATTCGGATCCTCAGCCAGTCTTTCATGGGCGGAAACGCTCACAGTCGAACCATCCTTGTCGAGAAGCACCAAAGTTGGCACTCCCGACTTAATGCGGTATCGCCTGCTTAGTCTCGTCTGGAATATGAAATACGGGAAATTGAATCGTCCTCTACAGTCAGAATCACCCGTTTCTAATTCAAACCGCGTAAAAGTCTCATAATATGAAAGAGAGTAAATGCGCTCCACCAGTCAATATAAATGTTTCTCTTGATGTCTGCTTATTGCTGTTTACTTAAGCGGCGAACTTCTTTCTTTAGCTGAAATGTTTGGTATATTTGTGGAGGCTAACAAGGCGCGCTCGCACCATGGAGGCAGAAAATCCTCTTTATCTCAACAGGCAATTTCTTCAAGAAAAATGGGTTTCGGCGCAAACTTTCAGTAGGCGCAAGTTCAGGAAAACCCAATTGCTTCAACTGTAAACTTTCCAAGCTTTTCCCGTTTTCACCTCGATGGTTTTTTACACTTCAGCTCCGGCCGGGACTACCAGATGATACATAAACTAAACATTCATTAACTACTGCCAGCCGATAAACAGTCCGCATAGTTTTAAATCTGAAATAAACTGGTACTGCGGTTAAGCGCAAAAAAACTGGATTTAAGCGCAAACTATTCAGGTTTTTCTGCTTAGAAAGGCCAGGAAACCAAGTTTTTATGGTCATTAGTCTGATTTTTATTAGCTGCCTAATTTTAGATGCAAAAACACACCACAAAGTTGTGCCGAGCCCTTCGGGCACGACACTGGTTTTAACTCAAAATCACCGAGTTCAGCGATTTTCCACTTTTTCCTCCAACCATCAGGTAATTGTTGACAACAAGCCTTTCCTTTTAGCAAACAGAACGGAAACGTTTTGAAATGCGTGAAACGAAATCCGTTCTTTCTCCCGTTCTGATTGATTCGAAGAAAAAATCAATTTGCTGCTGAGAACTCGAAAAGGAAACTCGCCTTCGCAAAAATCCATCAGCCAAATTTGCTTTTGAATTGTTTTTGCCCCAGTTTCTCATTTAATCCCCGTGTTTTGTTGGAGTTTTCCCTAAACAATCCTGAGTAAAACACGGAAATGCGAATGTTTCCTGATTGTCCAACTACTAAAGTGACACCATCTACATTGAAGCTTGAAGGTAGAAAGCAAATCAGCGTCTCCATTAATAAAGGAGCACACGCTCCTGATGGAAATGGCTAATGGAGAAACACTGAAATGAGCCCGGAAAAGTAAAAACTGGGGTAATTTTGAGACCTTAATAATAAATTGCGAAGCTTGCGATGTGTCCAGGAGGCATTGAGCATTAATTTTCCGGCCTGGAAAGCTTTTTGGAAAGTTTATATCAGTCAACTCTTAATGGATAGCAGTGCAGAATTTCCGGCAAATTTTGCTTTAAGTGAGCCAAAAAACCCCAACAGAACCATAAAGCTTCATTGGCCCATAAACCGAAACTGGCGCCATAAATCCTCGCTTGTTCCTTTTAGTGTGTTTTTTAGGTTTCCGATAGGCAAGAGGGCCTGAATGTTTGCTCTAAACGACCCATCGTTCTAAATGTGTTTATCGACTTTCAGCAAGCTGCGATCTGGAATTTTGTCCAAGAATTACCTTTAAGTTGATTTCACTGAACGGCATAGCGAACCAAGGCAGCCCCAATAGGCTCTCCTTATGGCTGAGCTCGAAATCTCCATAGTTATCGTTGTGAGCCCACATCACCACTTGAATCACCTCAATTCGCTTCTCCACGTCGCCATTCACACTACCCGAATTGAGTTTTTCGTATAAGTCGCGCAGTTTTTTCAAAAAATCGTCACTTTGCGTGCTGATGTTGGCAAAACTGAAGTAAATCCCGGTGATGTGAACGCTTTTGAGCACGTCCAGAGTTGCACAGGTGTTGAAGTCGTTCGAGTTGTTGGCGGAGTCGCATTTCATCAGTTTCTGTCCGAAGAGTCGGTCATGCCATTTGGTTTTTTCGTTCATTTTGCTTGAACTTTTGAGGACCTGAAATGGACAGTGATTTAAATTAATGCACTAAACCTGGGCAAATGGAAGGAGCACTTAATGTGTCTTTCGTTTGCTTCGGAACTAGCGAGAAGTTTACTCTAAATTATTAAGTAGGACGCGACGACAAGGCAGGCGAAGAGAAGCAGTTTTGCATAAAATAATAAAACAATCAATTGCAACGCTGTTCTTGCCTTGTTTAGCAAACGTAAATCACCGAAAGCGCATTGACTGCATCTTCTGCTCCGCCTACTACATATTTCCCCTGCATCTCACATCCGGTACTCAGGCATTTGTTTTCAAATGTTGAACCCAAACCAGCTCAAGTTTACCGTAAATACCTCAAGCAATTTGTATAGTTAATTTTGTGGCACGCAAGTCAATAACAACAGAAAGTCAAGCTTTACTGAATCCGAGCTTTTTTCGAATAGAAAAAATTGTCGGAGTTCTGCCGACGACGGCCCAAAAACCCAAAACACAGCAGTTATTCCGAAGTTTCTCAATAAAGTTGACTCGTTTTGGAAACAGGGATTTTGTTTACAGACTCTCTAATGCTATAAAACGCAATTCGATATTGGCAATTTTTTTTTAAACTCGCTCCAAACTGAATTATTTTAAGCGGCGAAGGTAGCAGAATCGAACGTAGCATGCACAGGCGATCAAGCGTCGCTCATAGACCCCAATGTGCGGGAGGAAGACAACCGATGCACGCCTACGTTCCTGAATGGATAAATCGGTTTTATTTATTTGCTTAATTTATTCATATTAGTCGAATTGGAGTGTTCGCTTCCAAGATTGGAGATGCTTCGAATCACGATTTTAGCGAAAAACTCCACAAATTACAATGGCTTTATAGACAATGTATTTAGTGAGTTTTTCGGATTTTTAGACTGTCGTGAAACACGAATTTCTTCCTGACGTTTCGCAAGCACAACTGACGTGCATCTTCACCTCTGAAATGATGTAAAATGTCACTTTCGTCCTTGCTTCAGTTGCAAAATATTTACTTTTGTGCTACAAATTTTTTGTTTTATATGCGGAAAATATGAAATGCAAAGATTTTCACCCGCTGTTGGCAAACATGAATTTGTTCTTTTAGATCTGGGTTAAAAGTTGCTGGTCTCAGGTGCAAATTCGGAATTTTCCGGGAAAAACCTTCGTTTCATAAAGCGTTTCATCTGAACCAGGAGAATGATAATGCATTTGTATTATTTGTCACTCTTTTGAATCACACTGTATTTTCCATTATGGAAATAGTCAAACTTCCGCTCTGGTGGCGATGGAGAGAAAAATCAAAGTAGGAAAAAATACTGTTGATGAGCTTCCTAATACTGTAACTGAGTTTTCCTGAATTGTGAAACTCTGGCTACTTGAAAGCTTGAAAACTTGAAAACTCCTAAGAAGTTTTCAACATTGGATACTTACAAGGAACACGGGAAACAATTCACTTTAAACCAATCGTCCCCTTAATGGCCACATTCCATCCTTCTGCGACTGGAACTCCTCAGGAAGACATTCCAACGGGAGAAACACACTGAAAATTTTAATTTCAACATCGAATTAGTCGCGTGTCGGTTTGTCGGTTCCACGAAAACCAGCCATAGCGACGTTTCGAGCACGACTGCCGTCATAGTGAAGGCGTCGAAACCGAAACTTAGGCAGCAGGAGTTTGGACGATTGGACTCCTGCAGGCTTTCGCGAGCAATCGCAAGTTTCGCCACTGATTCAGTGGAGTTTCCTTTTCGATTCGGTTCAGTTTTGACAGTTTAAAGCGGGATCTTGAAAGGGTTTTTCCACGAGAGTGTTTTCGGTTTTTGATGTGCAGTTTTGCGAGCACATTCCTTTGCGATTTTTGCTTTGGTTTTCCGGCTCAAGTCAATTTTAAATCATCTACAGGGTGGCCCTCAACTAATGGGACAAAACTCATTGATAAAAAAAGGCGTTTCAGACAAATTTGCCTTATCCGAATGTTCGTAGTTTCCCAGATAGAGGGTACCAAAGTGTAAATAAGAGTACTTTGCTACCGCTGGCGTGCGGCTTTGCCGCCTCAAGTTTAACATCCTGCAATTCCTGCTTCGTGTTTTTCTGTTTCTTTCATGCAGGCGTTTTCCTTGGTGTCTGTTTACCGCCCAGCAGACCCATCAACTTAATTGAACGTGCATTGCCTACAAAAGTCTCTACCACTAACAAACAATGTTCCTCGTATGTCGTTACGTTTTACTTACGTAAATAACTGCCACCGGCGCTTTCAAAGCTGCATTTTTCGTTTTCCTCGGAGCAACTTCTTTGGCTAATTGCAGCTTGATAATCAGCTAATGTTTTATTGCACAGAAATTTTACATGCATTCAGTCGCTTTCGTAAGCGCCTTTAAAGGTTCTATGGGTGTTTTTCTTGTAATGGAATTTCCATTTAGCGCCAAAGAAAAATCGCTAAACTTCCCGGAGCGCAATTTAATTAAAAATGTGACCATCTTTCCTTCTAGGGGGCCTCCAGCCTGCTTGACTTTCAAATCAGGTACGGTCGGGCGGAGGGTTAAGGGATTTATTGAGGTTGAGTAAGCAAAATTGCATTTTTATTCCGAACTAAACCGCACTAAATTCTGGTGGGTTTTGCAATTTTATCAATTTCATAGTATCACAATTCATTGTTAGGTTTTAATCTGTTTGAGTGTCTTTTCTCGACTGTAGTGTCCTAAAGGCCCAACTATTTTCGCTGAAACAAACAACATTTTTATTAAAACAATCCCAATTTTTCGTGTGTAAGCGGTTTGGTGCGAGCGAGAAAACGTGTTGCAACCCCTGCAGCCGATTCGAACCCAACCAAACACAGACGCAATATATTTTAAGTTTTTGGACAGGAAATCAATGGAAAACGCCATGTAAAATGGGTAGCGAATCGGGGAAAGCTGCACCTACAAGGGCGCATCGAAAAGTATTTATAAAGCTCGATTTGCATTGTGAGTTTGCCAGTTTTTGATTGGATTGACAAAATTGATTGATTCGATCCTTAAAAATTTGAAAAGCTTCAAACTTCTATGTTTTTTATTTGTATTTGCCATGTTATAGGAGCAAGTTATGAAAACAGTTGGTATGTGAAAACTAAATTTTTATATTAAGTAACTTTTAAACCGGTTTTTTATTCGAATGAGTTTAAAAGTGCCATTTTTCGATCAGAAGCGATGATCATACAGAAGCACTTTTCTTTACTGTTCATTTGTTTTACTTTTACGCACGGACTTTTACGCACATGTGCGCAAAAGAGAGTGTGACAAATTGAACCTGTCCATGTCATTATATTTTTTGAAGCATTTTCATTAAAAAGAAACCGATATGCTTTGTTACTGAATTACGTAGGTTTATTGACAACTATTAATTATCATTTCAAGTTTACTTACAAATTCTAACTTATAACTTTGTTACAAGTTCAGTCTGAAAGTCGTTCATTTTTCTATTATCTCATTCTATTTTTCTGCGCTCGCCGAAATTGCCACAAACAAAACGCGATTTTTTTATATAGCGCAAATTTCATGCAAAATATATAACTTATACAAACACCTGAACCTTGAATTTTCAACACTCATTGTTTCACTTTTATTTGCCTACAAAAGTACACTTTTGAAAAATTACAGAAAACGTCAAACTTGACAATTTCAAAAATGGCATTGCCGTCAAATTTTAAATATGAAGTTGACGTATGTTATTTTTGGCTATTTTGATTTATTATAACTTATGATTCGTGTTATGTCCTTTATTCGAATAAAAAATAGTGTCTTCTATTGAAGTCGCATTATAGTTGATTGTTAGTTTATAGTCGATTCCTTATCGATGGCGCACTCTCTAAAAAGGCCATTTAGTTCTCTCTGAAATGATGTAAAAATGCGCGTTCTTGCACCTTTTGCTTCCGAGAAATGAGCAAAAACGAGACGGAAAACATGAAATTTTGGGCTAATCTTGCACCTAAATGTCTGATATTGAAATTTCGCTTTCTGGGTCAAAACTGCCCGAATTTCTTCACTCATGTTGTTATGAAGCTACTTTTGAATCGCGAGGTTAATCATATCTTTGCAGCTGATGGTCTGAAAAATCTAACATCCTGTATAATTGAGGTCATGTTGCAACGCGCGAAAACATTTTTACCGTTGAAATGCAAAGGGAAAATCAGGTTTTCCAATTTTATAAGCAAAAAGTCACAGTGTGGCTGGAGTGGCTTGATGTCTTTGCTTCAAGCAATTTACGGGTGAACGGCAAGAACGACCACCACAATTAAGAATTTAACGCTTTCTAAACAATCTCCTATCATTGACTCCTACTTAGTCCACTATTTTTTGAAAAATTGGCAACACTTCCTCAAATTTTCTAAGCGCACTGAAAAATCAGACAGCAATTTTCATTCCAGTCATTTTTATGTTTCCTCCAAACTCTTTGAGAAAGTTTTTTTGCCCTTGTCCAAAGCTCCACTCTGCTTGTATGCTTACCCAAAGATCTGGAATTCCTTAAAAGAAATTATAAACCTCAGCTTTCGATGCTCGATCAGCTCAGATTCGCAATTCTCGGGTGCAAACGAGCAGTTTTGTCGCAAAACCTGAGCAAAAAATTTCGGAAGATCGCCAGAAAACGACCCAAAAAACTATACAAATCAGGATTTCTAAGCAATAGCTCTGAAAACCTCACAAGAAATCCTTGATTGATCAATGCTGATTGGAAGATCGCCAGAAAACCACCCAAAAATCTCAGAAAATCAGGATTATAAAGCAATTGCCCTAAAAACCTGACAAGAAATCCTTGACTGATTAATGCTGCTGATGCAAACGAATTCTTTCTTGATTGAAAATGGATCGAAAATGTCGCGTTTCTGTTCAAGTTTTCTGTTAAGATTTGCGACTTTTGTCTCTCGATGGAGTGAAAAATATAAAAGTTCTATCAAATTATAGCTTTTCCCATTTCCACTTTCTATCGATTTGGCACAAAGGCCAAATTTGTCTAGTTACATCTGCCATCTATGTTTAATATTGGCAACTAAGGTGTAGGATTTCTCCTGGTATTAGACAAAAGTTAATATGACCGTGTGGCCTAATGGATAAGGCGTCGGACTTCGGATCCGAAGATTGCAGGTTCGAGTCCTGTCACGGTCGCATACTCTTTTTGCCTTTATTTAATAAATTTTGTTAAATCTGTCCATCCTAGTTGCGGTTGATTTTAGTAAAATTTTCGTTTTCTTTCATTTTACGCGAACGGAAACCGCCGAAAAAATTGATATGCCATGAAATCCACTTTAGGCTTGACGTTTTGGCGAATTCCATGGAAAATCAAAGTTTAGTTGAAAAGAAAATTTTAATTAAATTCTCCTTTTTGCCATAATACTGCCAATGTGCCCACTTCCTTAAAACAGTTTTGTTTTTGCTGTTCTTATTACTTAGTGTGCCATTTATGTATCTTTTTTACATTTTTAATATCAATTTGCAAGAGAAATTGTTCGACTTTAGCCCAATTAATATGGTTAAGAACGTGCAAAAATTCTAGGAATGGAAAACTCACTGGAACGGGGAGCGCAATGAGCAAAAATCGAAGAATTTGCCATTTTTTTGGATCTCACTTATGCGTCCGATACAAGACGAGAATGAATTTTTCAACAATTTGTTAACACGATTTAACATGTAATTAGTCAGATGTTTCATCGACAATTATTCAAACAATCAAAACGTGACCGGGTTTTTTAAGCATTTTTGCCCCAATTGGGCCCGAGCCCAGGCATTCGACATCAGACATCAAACAATCGACAGATAAATAGAATTAGCGGAAGTGTTGCGCTGAAATTAGTTGGCTGTTCGCATTAAAACTCATTTTAACATGGATTTTTAAGTGATTTGTTGCGTTCTTTCGAAATAAAGCTGACCCCAAATATTTGGACACTTTCAAGCTGCTGTGGCTGTTTCGGGTGGTTTTATGCATTTGTTTAGTTGTCTTCTGAGCAGAGCGTTTACACCTGCTGATGGTAAGTTGTTGCAGTCTGCAGATTCATTTATATTACATTTTTGGCAATTTGCTGGCCTGTTTGAAGCTTTTTCGAAAAATGTCCTTCCTTTCAGGTCATTTGGTTCGTGTACATGCTTCAAAGCATTCGAATAGATGAAAAACTGTTGCACAAAAATTAATTAGGAACATTTTTTTCAATATTTTCTAAGGTATTAATGAAGTCCTTTCATTGAAATTTAATCAAATTGCGATGCAAAGAGTGAAACCGAGCTGGTGAGTACCCGACGAAACATGCCATGTTTATGGCTTACATTTACATACATCTGGTTCAAGATAAGGTTCGATGGTATACAGTGACCCAAATCCATAGACAACGCTAATTGGCTTTATCCTGCAAAGCCAGTAAATGGATTACCAGGCTGATGTAAATGCGCTTTTTCAGCCAAAGACTGATAAATAATCACTGTTGAAAACGCTGATTAATATTAATTTATTTTAATTTTTTCGGGGGCAACGGCGGGATGTTTAATCTGCTTTTTTGTTTTTGGGGCCACCGTGTAAACGCCTTGTTATATTATAAATAATTTGAAAAAGCGCACGACTGGCGCGACGCCAAGTTAATCAGCATGAGCTGAGCACAAAATGTTGATGCTGAGAAGTTTTGTTCAAAAATCCTGCAATTTTTCCATAATGAACCTTATCCAAAGGTTACTGCAATGAAGTTCCCCGGTTTAGCAGCGCTTGCAGCACCAAAGTTGCATAATCTAAACAAATACTTGGTGATTGTTTCAAATTTTGTGCGTGTGTGAGTTCGGAGCCGAAGTTTTGCCCAAGTTTGCAGGATTTTCTTCTTTCGCTTCCATCGGTGAGTGCCAAACATTCAGTTGATCCAGCGCGTATAAACGCACGATTTTTTTTGTTTGTGCTATTTTTTGTGCCGAACCATGCCAAAACTGCCCACACCCTGCAAACACTCCAAAGTCTGAAAGGCAACTCATTCAGGCAATGACCATAAAGTCAAGTACTGATCGATAAAATAAGGGCAAGGACATGATAAGGTGGAAAATAATCTATTTTAATTCGTGCCCTTTCTTCGGCCGACCATATTCCGCACCTTGGAAATGTCAAGGAAATGGATGCGAATCGGCCAGGTTTTTCATAGTTTTGTGGCTTAGAGGTTTTCTATGTGAATTTTATTGAATTAGCGAATTTTTGTTGCGGATCAACCAGCCGCAATCGCCAAAAATCCACGCACTTGAAGCCCGATTTACCGGCGGTTTTTCCGACGATCTCACGCAAACACGCATGAAATAATTTATTTAAAAAATATCAGAAATTGCCGTTTTATTCACTAAAGGGAGAGTTAAAGGGGCAATTAGAATGTCACGTGATATGCAATGAAGGGGGCGCCGTTCTGGCTGGGTGAATTAAACATTCTCCCAGCAATAGAAAATTGATAAAATTGTCTGGGTTTTACACTGGAAATTGTACCTTTCTTTGTCTTTGTGGTCAATTTTATGTATTTTCTTGTGCGTTAAGTGCAGGTTTTTTTTTATTGTCTTCAGTTTTTTAAGGAATATTGCGGGTTTTCCACTACGGCCTAAAAACTCACCAGTTCTAATGAATGGCCGCCAAATAATCTATTTTGTTAAACAAGAGAAAGGCTTTAGCAAAAAATGGGTGATCCAGAAGCGGTTCTCCAAACCTTTTAATTATAAAAAAAAATATTTTTCTCGCTTCTATTATTAGGTAGATTGGATTGTTAAGGAATGGTCTTATTTTACAATAAAACGAATTGTTTATGGAAACGTAAATTAATACGAGCACTTATCAACCCGTAGTTAAAAATGACAAAATTCTGTCTTTGCACAACGGAAAAATGTACCTTAACCATATCAAATTTATCTAGATAATTATTGGCCTTTGGCCCTTTCGCCGTTTGGGCACGACATTGATTTCTTGCCAAAAATTGATCAATCGGCAGGTTTAAAAGGTTTTTGCGTCCAAACCAGTGTATTTTTTATTTCTGAATTCTGATGTATAGAGTTTTGCAACGTTTCTTAACGAGGCTGAACTTCCTCGAAAGCAAACACTCTAATCCGACTAAGTGAAACGGATTTTCAGTCAGGAACGCAGCTTACATCGGTTGTCTCACTCACGCACATGGCAGGCTATGAGTTACGCGCGATTGCCGGTGCGTGCTACGTTCGAACTTGGTACCTTTGGGGCTTAAAATAAATCGGTTCACAGCAAGCCAGTTTGAATTTTTTTGTCGATTTTTTAAGCTCTTAAGCCATGATGTAAAAATATATTTTTCACTTGTTTTTTTCCAAAGATTATCCAGCTAATGCCCCTTGAAACTTGCCAAACCGTCACGTGTTTCGCGGTCTGTGTGCGTCGCGACGCCATAGAGCGTGGACGCTGCGGCGCAGCGCCCACCCACCCTCACTGCCCTAAAATCCATCGAAAAAGCCGCACACATTTGTGACCCGATATTTCTATTTCGTTGTCCATTGTTCCGGGGGGGTGAAAGAAAACCTCGCAACGATCGTCGTTTTGTCCATTTTTTCCTCAAACTGAGCGCGAATCGGGGGTGAAATTTCAAAATTCTGGCGATTCCGAACGTGGTGAAAACAGCGGGTTTCTGGCCGGCAGGCAAAATTGGCGCTGAATGTTTCAGCTAAAAGATGGCCGACATTGAGGAATGGATGGAAAGTGAAGATAATGGGGTAGGGCAGTGCGCTATCAGGAAAAGTAAGGCTTAATACTTGCTTACCTATTGAGCGGGGGTTTTTGTCGTTCGATCAAAGCGCGGAACATTCCGGTCAAGAGACTTACCAGAGGCGTAAATATTGTCAATGTGGTGGTTGATAGATAAGCCAGTTTGAAGACCCAATTGGTAAGTCGGGAGAAAATGGACTTTGTTAGAGCAATCGATACACTGGATTCAAAAATGTTTATCCAACCAATTTAGCATTTTTTGCCACAGAAACTTTGAAGAACGAAACTCAAGTTTACAGTTACAGCCAAATGACTCAACTTTGTCTTTGAAAGCTTTTGCCCCCCCGGGTTCCTGAGAAGTTGAAGAACTCCACTTTGAAAAACGCGCCGGGTTTATTTCCTAAAGCTCTTAGTGACAAAAAAATGCTAATTTTTGTTTGCTTCTTTCAACTGGTGGCTGTTCTCCAATCCTGTCAGGCCTCTAAGGCTAGTCTTTAAACCCTCACAGTTTATTGCTCGATTTTCATGTAAATCCGTGATGAAGCGCACATTTTCTTGCGGACCTGAGTAGATTTCCCATAGAAATAGGCCAAAAATTTGGAAATTTTTGGTAAAGGTCAGTAAAACCTTCCATGGCTTTGACTTGGATTTACTGCGTCTAGTGTGGCGCTTAAATATTTAATAGTTCATTGGAAAAAATCCATAAAACCGGATCGTTTATCATGATCGCATATTTTTCATGCTAATGTTTCATCAACAAATTTTTGTTTATGGAACATTTTTCGTTATTTTTCAGATATGATTTCAGTGGATTTGTCAGTCAACAATTTCCCCATCTAGCATCGACCTTAATCAGTACGGATTCTGGATTTGCGACATCAAGCCGACAAAATGGGGGATCAGAGAACGTCTGGAATTTATTGGGCTCAGCTGAAAGCCATGCTGAAAAGGAATCTTTTGTTAAAGAAACGGGATAAAAGGAGAACGATGGCGGTAAGTTCCTCAAAATATGGGCGATATTACCGAAGAGAAGTCAATGGCCAACTTTCCACTAGGGTTTTTCCTAAGCGAAAGTGAAAAATCACCAACATTCTAAGTCCAAATCAATAGTTTTGCATTCGAATAAAAGCGTTTTCCCCAATTCACTCAAAGTAATTAATTTTATCTTTTTTCCGCCATCATTTTACTGATGAGGGGCGGCTTTATGTTTCGGCAATGATTCGTAAATCGCATTTATTTATAGAAATCGCTCTTTGTTTAGACGAATCAGCGCAATCATTAGCGTGATGAAACACTAGTTTAGCTTTTGTACTACTGGGTTTCTGTGGCGATTTGTAGTCGTGGAAAAAATGTCTTCCTGACGTTTTGCAAGTACGAGTGGCAAGCATCTTCAGCGGTGTGTGTGGCATCTGAAGAAGAAAGTCGGTTGTGCATGCAAAACGTCCGGAAAGTTATTTTTGCACGACGGTCTAAAAGCACGAGAACTTACCTTATATATTGTTAATGCAACTGTTTTTAAAATTATTGACTTTTTGCTTGAAAGAAAATATGCTCGAAGTCGAAACCGAACACTAGTTCCACCCAAATTAATTAAACCGACTTTTCCATTCAGGAACGTAGTTTGCATCGGTTGTCGCACTCACTCACACGGGAAACTATAGGCGACGTAAGATGGCTGGCCGTTGCTATGTTCCGACTTGATATATTTGCGGCTAGAAATTATGCAGTTTTTGACGGGAAAGTTTGAGAAATGATTTTTATGACAATTTTGAATTACGTTTTACGGTGTTAGGCAAAAATCCTTATATCGATTTTTGATCCCATAAGAGTGAATTTCACTTAGAAACTTTGCAATAATTGTTAAGTTTTGCGTTTTCAGGCAACCGACGATCCTATAGATTTACTGTCTTCTTATACTGAAAACCGCATTAAAAAACTTCTTCAAAGCTGAAATCAGCAACTGAAAGTTCATCAGTAGATTTTCATAATTAAATGAACTGCAACTGGACTGTTTTAGGCAAAATTCAGTTTTTATTTTTGTACGCGATTTGATGTTCCAGCTAAATTTTCCTCTTGCGACTGTAAAAAAAGGCAACCTGAAAATCCCTAACAAATTTTCTTTTCTAGCACAGATAATGATTGTTTTTCTGCCTTACTCATTTTCCTTTAGTGCAGTCACGCCATTTCCTGAAACACTATAATATAGCGCCCTCGCTTCACGTAAATTTATAGACAGTTTTATAGCATTTAATCGTATCATTATTAGCCGGCCATCCTTGGAAGCTCATGGTCGATGAAATAATTAAAGTTTCATGCTGTGGAAATGCTCGACTTTTTCAAATCCCAACTGGTTAATCCACGTTTCACTATCCCCGGCTTTATAAACCGCGCACGTTCATAATCGGAAAAAATCTGTGTAATTTCCAGTCGCAATATAATCCGGGATCTCCTCGAACACGCAAGAACAATCTGCATATGTATGTATATATACAGGGTGGTTCGCAGGTAATGCGAATGCGAAATAGAGGGTTCAATGTGAAATATTTCGAAAATGGTGAAAGATATCGAGGTGAACCAAGTACACATTTTCTGTTTAGCAAATATGGGAAAAGGAGATACTGACAACAAAAAAGCCTCTCTCTCCAGTCTAGTATTTACATACAAAACCGCCGAAACACACAATTGTTTCCATTCTTTCGGGTTTTAATCAACAACTGCGAACAGTGACTAGAAGGATTTTGTTTTGTTTCAGGAAGTTCTGCTGCCAATCTATACGCTTGGTGTGCTTTTCCTGATCAAAGTCGCCGTGCCAAACCCGAATTTCCCGGAACTTAATCAGCCTGGAGGAGCGGCGGAACTTTTTGGCAAATTTCGCAATGGCAGCCACACAGTGGCTGTTGTGCCCAATTCGACTGAAGTACAGGTAATAGTAAGTTTTCGCTTTTGATTTTCCTAAGTAGCAAACTAGACTTTTCAGGTTTGACGGTGAAATTTCCACTAAGCTCGATCGAGCGGAAAACTGATTTCCACCCCAATTCTTCTAAGCATTGATTCCATTTCATAACAAACATTTAGTTGCCAACAGATTTATCTGCGTTGGATGCGAGTGGCCCAGTTTCATGCTGTCGCATTCGTTCTATTTATCTGCCACTGAAACGTATATCGCAGCAATTTTTCAGCTTCAATTATTTCTAAGTACCGTTCATGGTTGAGACGGATATAAATTGTGGACAGAAGCGAATAGACTCGTTTTCAAATACCAAAACCATTAAATGCGAGACTTGCTAATGTACAAACTGGGCAATTTTGGACGATTTTTTAGTGGCGTTTTTTGGAAAAAGTAACAGTTTGGAGCTGTTGGAGTGTTATGAGCTCGATTTTTGAAGGCAGAACAATGGCGCTTACTGATTCTTCCTTCCTTGCTTATGAGCTACAGGGTAAAACTGCCAAATTGCTTATTGCAACTTTATTCCTTAGCTCCTTTATTATTGGAAATATTTTTTAAATTTTAACGCATTTTTAATAGATAATGATTTGAAGAGCCTCATAAGTCGAAAATTTCCGTGGCCTCACAAAAGTTACCAGAAAACTTCAACGAGCGCTTCAACAAACTCAAACTCTTGAACTAGTTGGGAAAGTTTTGAAATTTTTTAAATTTGCGTTTCACTTAGAAATTGGTAGCCGAGTTTGCACCGAGAGCTTCAACAGCCACAAACTCCCGAATCCGAAGAGGCTTAAAGTTGAAACTCTGTGAGAATATTGAGCAAATCTGCCGTTACTTATTCCCGAAGAATTGCTTGCTTTTACACGCTGGGGAAATTTTTTTGAAATTGGGGTAGTTTGGGTTTGTCGGTAAGTAAAGAGCGATTTTGCCACTCGCGCTTCAACAGCCTGAAAGTCCCGAACCCAACAACGATCAGAATTGATTTTTTTACGCGAAAGTGGATCGACTGTATCCTTATGTATGCAAAAAGAAAGACTTGGTTTCCTTCACGGGCTGGGGAAATTTTTAGAATTTTTTTACTTTATGTTTTACTTTTTGCTTTGAGCGCTTCAATGGTCTAAAACTACCAAACCGAGTGAGACTCAAAATTAAAATGTTACGAAGAGTTAGCGCAAATGTACTCTTACTCCTGTCCGCAGTTCACATTTGGTGCACATTAAAATTGGGTTTCACTGGCGATCAGTATTGCCATGAGCGCTCCATCAGACCTAAACTCCCAAAAACCCACGAATTTTGTTAGAAGTTGCAGCAAATGTCTCATTTTCTGTGTCTTCAGTCTGCATTTGGTCGACTAATTCAGAAAGTTTGGAAAAATGTTGGAATTTGGGTTTTACTTTTTGGAGAGCGTTTGGCTACAGCCTCAAACTCCCGAATGCAGAATGACTGGAAGTTGAAATTTAGTGAAAACATAGAGGAAATGTGGTTGTACTTGTCCCCAAAGAATTGCTTTCGTTCACACTTTGGGTACATTTTGAGCATTTTTTGAAACTGGGTTAGTCTGGTTTTGCTAAGAACTGAAGAGCGGGTTTGTCACGAGCGTTTCAACAGCCTCAAACTCTCGAATTAAAAAAGATTGAAAATTATTTATTTCTTCGAGAAAGAAGATGAAATTCCGCCTTACTTGAACCCAAAGACTTGTCGTTTTCCACTTTGGAGACATTTTGAGAATTTTTTGAAAATGGGTTAGTTTAGGTTTGCCAAGAACTGAAGAACGGTTTTTTCACAAACGTTTCATCAGCCTCAAACTCCCGAATTAAAAAAGATTGAAAACTATATTTTTTCGAGAAAGTAGATGAAATGTAGCCTTACTTGAACCCAAAGAATTGGTGTCGTCTTCCACTTTGGAGACATTTTGAGATCTTTTTGAAAATGGGTTAGTTTGAGGGTGCCAAGAACTGAAGAACGGTTTTTCCACGAGCGTTTTAACAGCCTGAAATTCCCGAATCAAAATAGATTGAAAACGTTTGTTTTGAGAAAGTAGATGAAATGTGGCCTTTCTTGTTCCCACAGGATTGCTGTCGTTCACGCCCTAGGGACATTTTTGAGAATTTTTTAAATGTAGTTTAATTTGGGTTCGACAGGAACTGAAGAGCGGTTTTGCCACGAGCGCTTCAACAGTCTCAAACTGCCGAATACAGAAACACTTGAAATCATTTTTTTTAGAAATTAGAGTAAATGCGTCCCGAAAAATTATATACTTTCTCCCACAAGTTGGAATCATTTTCAAATTTTCTTAAATCGGATTTTAGTTGTTGGCAAGCTGTTTAGCCACGAGCGATCAATAGCCTCAAACTCCTGAATTCAGAGAGACTGAGAGTCTCAACTTTGTGCACGAAAAGCAGAAGAGAGCGCTTACTGAATTCTTGAAGAGTTTTGAATTTGGGTTTACTTTTTGGCAACGCGCGCTTATCACGATCGCTTCAAGCGGCTCAAACTCCCGGATATGAAAATCCTGAGAAATAAAATATGTGAGAAGAAAAAGAAAATATGCCTTAACTTGTACCCAAAGAAGTGTTTTCGTTCACGAGCTGGGGAGATTTAGAAAATTTTTAAAATCGGGTTTAAATTCTTGGGGAACCGTTTTAGGACGAGTGCTTCAAGAGCCTGAAACTCCCGAATGCGTAAAAGCTGTGACTTGAAATTTTGCGCGAAGAAAGAACAAATATGCCCTTATTCATATACAGAGAAGCACTTTCATTCACTGACTGGGGACATTTTGAGAAATTTTTGAAATTAGGTTTCAGCTATTGGCGAGTCGTTTTGTCAGCAGCGCTCAACAGCCTCAAACTCCCAAACCCAAAAAAACTGAGACTTTTGTCACAACAAAGAGCAAATAACCCCTTATTTACACGCGCTAAGAATTACTTTCGGCCGCCGGCTGGGAAAATTTGGAGATTTTTTTGAAATCAGGGACGGTTTGTCCAGCAATACAGGAATGTTTTGACTTGCAGGACTTCCTGAAAACCGTGGACGTTCTATGGGAAAATATCAACGAAAACCAGAACGCAAAGTTCACGCCCATTGCCTGGGTGGTGTATCCAACAATCGAAGATCTGCTCACCGCTTACTGGATGGAGCCGAACGCAATACCACTGGCTGTAATCTTCAAGTCTTCTGATCCGATCAATGGCCCGTTGAGGTAAACGTTCCCCTATATAAAACCAGCTCATTTGCCTCAAGGCGTCTGAGTTCTTGGTGTTGCTGAGCCACTGAGCCCCCCACGTTGACATCAGAATTCTTCCAGTTATGAGATCAGAACGAACCCAAACCTGTTTGAAACCCCATCGACTGTGCAACTGTATGGTTCGCCAGCGAGTTGTCGGGATTACAAATCGATCTGGCAAAATGTTCCAGGAGTTCCCACTCCCGTGCTGCCCCAAGGCTTGGAAGTTGAGGACAATTGCCCAGTGAACCAGTATTATTACTCTGGATTCCTCGCTCTGCAGGCTCTAATGGATTTTACAAAAATTAGAGTGAGTTTGCAACGGGGCTCAAAATTTTTTTCACGGTGTTGTTGCCTCTTGTAGCTGGATGCAGGAATTGAAAACTTAGCCATTCCGAAAATATTCCTCGAGCTCTTTCCAAAGGCCTCGTATACTGGTGACTGGATGGTGATAGTGCGGGTGCTCATACCGCTTTATACCGTTATAGCTCTTTCTCAGTTTATCACCTATTTGCTTATCCTGATCGTGGGGGAGAAGGAGCAGAAGATCAAAGAAGGAATGCGGATTATGGGTCTATACGACTCGGTGTTTTGGTAAAACCTGCCCGCTTTCTCAACTGAATAGTTTGCTCGATCCTTTCCCTTCTTGCAGGTTGTCTTGGTTTATAATCTACGCTATATTCGTGCTGTTGCTGACAATAATCTGTTGCACTCTACTATTTGCTTTAAATATATTTACCAACACGTGTTTCATTATGGTGTTTATGCTGATATTCATGTACTGTCTGAGCATTATAATGTTTGGGTTCATGCTGACGCCGTTCTTCGATAAATCCAGAGTAAGTTCCATTCACCAGGCAGGAAACCGGTTAATTTAAAGCGCTGCTTTGCAGACCGCAGGAATTCTTGGGAACTTCGCCGTTACAATCTTGAGCTTGCTCTACTTCATCCAGGTGTTTGTCCGCGACTCCAGTTCAGTGGCTCTATGGATAGTTTCCTTGATCAGTCCTGCAGGATTTGCCCTAGCTATGGACAAGGTAAGTTTTTAGCTGTAGTAAGGCTAATTTTTTTTGAAAATTTCTTGGGGTTTTAGGCACTTTTGATGGATTTGGCTGGAGAAGGTGTCAACATTTCCAACGTCTGGAACGGTCCTGATATGCCCTTTGGCGGCAGCTTAATAATGATGGCTGTTGATGTGGTTTTGTACGGATGGATTGCTTATTACCTGGACAGCGTCATTCCGAGTGCGTGTAGTTTGTGTTCTGGGTAGTTGGAGGGTTAATGTATTTTTTGCAGGCGAACATGGGGTGAAAAGGTCGCCCTTTTTCTGCTTCAACCCGCTGTTCTGGTGGAAGTCGCAACCGGTTGATAAGGTAAGGCTGTGATTGATTGTTAATTGGGTGAAAGTAGAGGGAATCTTACAGATTCCACTCCCAAATGGAGAATCCGTTGGCTCTTTGGCCGGCGAGGAAGGAGTTGCGGATTTCGAGCCAGTCCCTCGCGAAATGAAGGGCAAGGAAGCGATCAGAATAGTGGATTTGCATAAAAGATTCAAAGTGAGTTGCCGATTTTGGCTGGAAATTTCTAGTCTCAGTTAACTGGGTTTAGAGCTTTCGGAAGCCCGAAGTCAAAGCAATCAACGGGATAAACCTGACCATTTACGAGGGACACGTAACGGCCATTTTAGGACATAACGGGGCTGGAAAAACGACGTTGTTCAATATTTTGACTGGCTTGACTGCGCCCACTTCAGGCACGGCCTATATTTTTGGATACGATGTGAGGTAATGATTTTCTAAAAGTTTCAGATGTGTTGAACAGCTATTTTCGTCTGAAGCCAAAAAACCGTTTGACGAATTGAAGAATTAAATTTCCTTGCATTACAGCCGTTCGTTTCTTCATGAGTAATTTTTAAAGTTTGGACATTTTTTGCGCGGATTGTCGATTTTTTCTAATTTCTCAAGCACCATTCGAGACATTGAAATGCGGATCTGATCAGTGGATAACGAAAGCTTCCATTTATTCGAGAGAAAATAATTTGGTTTTATTCCAGGTTGCTTTAACATTAATTTTTGAAGTTGAGAAAGTTTGGAGAAAGACGCGAGAAGCGCGGTTTAGTGTTTTTGCATCATTATTTTCTGCAGCTCATTTTTCAAGAACCATTCAAGGCACTTAAATGTGAATGAAATGAGCGGATAAAAATGTGTTTTTTATTAGTAGGGAGAATTTGATACGATTCCAGTTTCTCCGTGCTTTAAATTTAATTTTTAAAGTTTGGAAAGTGATTGCGCGTATTTAGGTTTTTCGCATCATTCGCTGCTCAAGCTCATTTCTTAAGAACCGTTAGAAGCCTTGAAAGGTGCATGTAATCAGTCGATGCAGAAAATGTCACTTTACTCGAGGGCGAAAAAACTGGGATTTTCCAAAATTTCTTTGCTTGAAAATTTATTTTTGATCTTTGGAAAGTTATTGCGCGGTTCTGTGATTCTTGCATCATTTTCGTCTGAAGCTCATTTCTCAAGATCTGTTAAAGGGATTGAAATGTGTATATCACCAATCGATAGAGAAAGCCTCAGTTTACTTGAGGAGAAAATTTGGTTTGGATCTAAAGTCTGCTTGCTTAAAAATTAGTTTTTGAAATTTGGAAAGCTATTGCGCGGTTCTGAGATTTTTGCATCATTTTCGTCTGAAGCTCATTTCTCAAGATCTGTTAAAGGGATTGCAATGTGTATATCACCAATCGATAGAGAAAGCCTCAGTTTACTTGAGGATAAAATTTGGTTTAAATCTAAAGTATCTTTGCTGTAAAATTATTTTTTTAAATTTGCATAGTTATTGCGCGGTTTTGCGTTTTTTGTATCATTTTCTTCTGAGGCTCATTTCTCAGAAACTCTTTGGAACATTAAAATGTAGATATTAATAGTCAATAAGGAGAGCATCATTTCACTCGAAAAGCAAATTTCGTTTCATTACAGCCACTCTTTTCTTCAAAATTATTTTTTTAATTTAAGTCTTTTGTGCGCGGGTTTGTTTTTTAGGCAACTTTTTCTTGTGAAGCTCATTTTGCAAAAATCATTTCAAGCATTAAATCACAGCAGCGGATAAAAGAAGATTCTGTTTAGTTGAAGTGTAAATTGGGGGTTTTATTCCAGCTACTGGTTTCCACGTCATCCGTTTTTGCCCCATTCTCTTCTGAAGCTCATTTATCAAGAACCATTTGTGGCATGCAAGTGTGGCCATTAGCAAACGATAACAGAATCCTTATGTTATTCGAGGTGTAAATTGGGTTTCATTTGATTGGCTCATTAAAAAAAATTGAGTTTGAAAACTTTTGGCGGTTTGCACTCTTCCCTTCTAAAGCTGCTATCTCAAGACCCTGTTTGAGGCATTGGAACGTGGACATCAGCAATCGATCAGGGCAGCATTCATAATTAATTTTTGAAAAGAAATAAGTTCCTTCATAATTAATTTTTGAAATTTGAACAGTTGTGCGCGCATTGTTTACCCATTTTTCCCCTGTATAGGAACCAAAATGAAATGGATCAAGTGAGAAGAATGACCGGCGTGTGTCCTCAACACGACATCCTCTTTGACAACTTATCGCCTAGAGAACACTTGGAATTTTTCGCTACTGTTAAAGTGAGTCTCAAAATCACGCCGCTGAGCAAAACAGCTCAAAAACACTTTCCAGGGCATTCCTGCTTCGAAAATTGAGGAAGAAGTGTCCAGGACGTTGAAGGACGTGGATTTGAGCGACAAAGCGAACACTCCAGCCACTCATTTGAGTGGCGGCCAGAAGAGGAAACTTTCAGTGGGGATTGCGGTGATTGGCGACCCGAAAGCAAGTGAAACGTTCCTCGTTAGCCCCAGTGCAAATTGCGCAAACTGGTTTTATTCCAGATTATAATTCTGGATGAACCCACAGCTGGAGTGGATCCGTATTCCAGAAGGCACATGTGGAATGTGCTCCAAAACAGGCGACATGGTCGAGTTATATTGCTGACGACGCATTTTATGGATGAAGCTGATATCTTAGGTACCAAAAACGATTTCCAACCGCAATCAGACTTAGTGACGAATCCTTTTTCAGCTGATCGGAAGGCCGTGGTGTCCAAAGGAAATATTCGCTGTTGCGGCAGCTCGTTGTTCCTAAAGAACAAGTTCGGGATCGGTTATCATCTGACGTTAGTTTTGGAAGGTAGGAAAACGCAGAAAATCGCCCCAATTACTCCACATAAAAACTTGTAGCGGCAGCCAAAGAACAAGCCATCTCCCGCTTAGTTACCACGCACGTTTCCAAGGCTGAAAAGGCCAGAAGACATGGACGAGAGCTCAGTTTCATTCTCCCTCATAATGCGGTGGATCATTTCGCCTCCCTGTTCAGTGCCATCGAGACCGAGATAACCAATAAAAGCAAGCTGGGTAACGAGCTGAGGCCAAAAAACTAACCTGGGTGTTAACTTCGGTTCTTCTGTGCAGGCATTTCAAGTTACGGGGTCTCGATGACCACTCTGGAAGAGGTGTTTTTGCACCTGGAAAAGGGCGAAGACGAGGTAGAAGAAACTGTTGACAATCTGTCGAAGAAAATTGTGCGCAATCGCGCGCTGAGCAGAAGCCTGAGCCTGCAGAGCAAAAGCACTAGCTATCAAAGCCTGCAGAATGAAGGAATCAACTTCATCGAAAACGGCCACGACGCCAAAGGTAGGCAAACCGCCGTTAATCCCGCAGATATGACCGATGATGGAATCTGCCTCGTAGCAGGAGGAGACGTAACGGAAATAGGCGGCTTGGAGGCGATATCGGAAACAAAATCCCCCATATCGGGAATAGGGCTGGAGAAAATCGAATGCCGTCCCAATGCCTGTCAGATTGTCCTGGCCCTGATCAAGCTGAGATGTTTGCGGATGTTTCGCGACATCCAGAAGCTCTACTTCATGATACTGCTGCCACTTCTATGCGCGGCTCTTAGCCTGTACTTTGATAATTATTTCCAAAACTCGAACAACACGAGCAAACCGTTGGAGCTGAATGGGAGCACGTATGGATTGATGAGCACTGTGGCCATTCACAACAGCTCCGGCAGCGATATCACGACATTCATTGGTAAGTAACGACTTACCGAGCGCTGGTAAGTGATGACGATGATGATGAGTGTAAAATTGTAAAATTGCAGACCAACTGGTTGACTTGGGGGTGCGACAAACTGATTCGTACAATGGGAACTTTTCCGCGCTCTTGGACTTTGCGCCCCATCTAGCCGCTTTCGATGTGCATAAGTTTGAGGATGGCGAGTACAGTTTTACGGTGTTGTACAACGACACTTTCCAGCACAGTTTGCCAGTCACTTTGAACTTGTTAAGCAATGCAATTTATAGGTAAGTATGAGCAAGAGTTGGGTGGTTTTAGCTTAGCTTCAAGTACCTACTTAATCAAACGTTTCCAATTTTGGGAATTTTGCCTCAAATTTTGAGATAGTGAAAACTGGGCATCAGCAAGCGATAGAGGAAGCGTCTGTTTTCTTGAGGGGTAAATTTGGTTTGAATCCAGCAGCGGGTTTCTTCAGAATACATTTTTGATGTTTGACACCATTTTCTTGTGACTTATTTCTCCAGAAGTTTTTCAAGGATCGCAACGCGGGCACCATCAATGGATGAACGAACCTTCTGCTCACCTTTAGAGCACTAAACCTGCTCATCGGGTCGAAATTAATTTTTGAAGATTGAAAAAATTTGCGCTGTTCTTTACATTTAGCACCATTTTCTTCTGCAGCCCCTTTTTGATAAATCATTTGCGGCCTCGAAACGTGGATTACCGAAATCGAGCAGAAAGTTTCAGCTCAGTTGTAAATTTGGTTTCATTTTAGGTGCTACTTTCTTCATAATTAATTTTTGATGTTTGATAAGTTTTAGGCGATATTTTGGTGTTCGCACCGTTCTTTCCTGAGGCGCATTTGTTACGAACCATCTGAGCAATTTCATTTTCGATCTCTGAAATGAGCAACGAAACAAAAGTTTCGGTTACCTGTACCTGTTTGTTCCTTGATAACTAATTTTCGAAGTTTTAAAAGTTTCTGCGCGGTTTTTACTTTTTGGCACCGTGCTCTCCCGAAGCTAATTGCTTAAGAACCCTCTGAGTCACTGACACACGGGAAGCACCACCAGACAGAGAAAGTTTCAGTTTCTTTGTGCTATAAACTTGGTTTTATTTCACTAGCCGGGTTGGTCATAATTCACTTTTATAATTTTAACAGTTTCTGCGCGGTTTTTTCTTTTCTGCACCGTTCTCTCCTGAAGCTAATTGCTCAAGAACCCTCTGAGTCACTGACACACGGGAAGCAGCACCAGACAGAGAAAATTTCAGTTTCTTTGTGAGCTAAATTTGGTTTTATTTCACCAGCCGAGTTCCTCATAATTCACTTTTGAAATTTGAAAAATGTCTGCGCGGTTTTTTCTTTTCTGCACCGTTCTCTCCTGCAGCTAATTGCTCAAGAACCCTCTGAGTCACTGACACACCGGAAGCAGCACCAGATAGAGAAAGTTGCAGTTTCTTTGTGAGCTAAATTTTGTTTTATTTCACCGGCCGGTTTCGTCGTAATTCACTTTTGAAATTTGAAAAGTTTCTGCGCGGTTTTTTATTTTCTGCACCGTGCTTTTCTGAAGCTAATTGCTCAAGGACCCTCTGAGTCACTGACATGCGGGAAGCAGCACCAGACAGAGAAAGTTTCAGTTTCTTTGTGCTATAAACTTGGTTTTATTTCACTAGCTGGTTTCGTCATAATTCACTTTTGAAATTTGAAAAGTTTCTGCGCAGTTTTTTCTTTTCTGCACCGTGCTTTTTTAAAGTTAATTACTCAAGAACCCTCTGAGTGACTGACACACGGGAAGCACCACCAGACAGAGAAAGTTTCAGTTTCTTTGTGCTATAAACTTGGTTTTATTTCACTAGCCGGGTTGGTCATAATTCACTTTTATAATTTTAACAGTTTCTGCGCGGTTTTTTCTTTTCTGCACCGTTCTCTCCTGAAGCTAATTGCTCAAGAACCCTCTGAGTCACTGACACACGGGAAGCAGCACCAGACAGAGAAAATTTCAGTTTCTTTGTGAGCTAAATTTGGTTTTATTTCACCAGCCGAGTTCCTCATAATTCACTTTTGAAATTTGAAATATGTCTGCGCGGTTTTTTCTTTTCTGCACCGTTCTCTCCTGCAGCTAATTGCTCAAGAACCCTCTGAGTCACTGACATGCGGGAAGCAGCACCAGACAGAGAAAGTTTAAGTTTCTTTGTGCGCTAAATTTGGTTTTATTTCACCAGTCGAGTTCCTCATAATTCACTTTTGAAATTTGAAAAATGTCTGCGCGGTTTTTTCTTTTCTGCAACGTTCGCCCCTGCAGCTAATTGCTCAAGAACCCTCTGAGTCACTGACATGCGGGAAGCAGCACTAGACAAATTCAACGACCAGGTCAACATTTGGAATTTAAAACTTTCTTTTATTTTGAACGTATAAGAAATGTAATAAAGGCGTTTTTTAAGGCTGCTCACACCTGAAAAAGTGCGGAATGGTAATTTCGAGCCAATCCGAGTGATGGCACAGCCGTTTCAACAAACCATGCAGCCCGAAGGGATCAACATTGCATCAACCACGCAAACCATCCTGATCGGAATGGTTCTGGTCATGGTACCTGTTAGCTTGGCAATCGACTTGGTCCATGACCGAGAGGTAACTTGAACTCCTCCTCAATTTATCTAGTTTCCTTCAAATCGTCACCTCGATTCATCAGTTGAAAACGAAAAATCAGCTGCGAGTCAACGGCCTCTCAACCACCATGTACTTCCTCACCTACTTCATAGTGTTGGTGGCCATTATGAGCTTAACATGTGCAGCGTTGATAGTGATGATGGTGGCCTTCGAGATCCCGGCGCTAAGAGAATGGCCGGCCATCGTCGTCTTTAGTTTGCTGATTTTCTTCTACTGTCCATCGTCGATACTCAGCTGCAGCTGCATCAGCTACATCTTCGATAAGACCGACTCAGCGCAGTCAATCTTGCCCAACATTGCCACCTTCCTCGGCTGGATTCCGTTCCTAATGGTGGTTTTGCTGGATGTAATGAATGTTGGTGAGTACTCGAGGGTTCAGGATATTTGCGCGAAGATGTTAACTTTTTAATTTCAGGCAAAACCTTCGCTTTGGTGCTTCACTGCGTCTTCTCCCTTACCAATACCATGTACATACCGTATTCGATAGTCTACTACATTCAACGAGTCTATTTACTATGTAACGTGAATTTGGCCTGTGATCGATTAACTTTAGCCAGTTACTGTACGCCGGAAATTGGCGTTTTGCTCGCTGGAATGATCATCAATATTCCGCTCTGGTTCGTGCTTCTACGGATTGTCGATATTAAGAAGAGCGGAGGACGAGCAAGAGATGCCTTCAATTTCCTGCGCAAGGTGAGTATGTCGAGGAAAAGAGTTGGGAGAAATGTGAAAAATTCAAAAGTGTTTGAAATATTTCGCACACCTAAAGAGACAGAAAAGATGCAGAAAATGTATCCCGATTGATTTGAAAAAAATCGTATTTGTGAATTTATTGGGAAAATTTGTCAAAAAAGTTGCACTTCTGCAAACTCTGTTTGATAAATTCCGCATTACCAAACGAGAAGAGCTAAAGACTTGACTTTTTTCCATCAATATACAGAAAATGTGTCCCTATTTATTTAAAGAAGTTTGGTTTTGTGAGTTCACTGAGAAATTTTTGAAAAGTTGTCTCTTGCAATCTTTATTTTTGGAAAGCCCGCAATTTTGCAAGCTTTGGTTGAAAAAATCCGCACTCATAACAAGGAGCTAGAGGCATGACTTTTTCATACCAGGATACGGAAAACGTGTCTGTGTTTAATTTTAAAAAATCGGTTTTGTGAGTTTACTCAGGAATTTTCGAAAATTTGTCGAAAAAAACGATGTTTCTGCAAGCTTTATTCGAAAAGTTCAGTGAGAAATAGAGTTTAAAGAGATGGAGAGTTGAGCTGTTCACATCAAGATACACAAAGTGTGTTTCTGCCCCTTTGAAAAAATTGACATTTCTGAGTTGCCTGGAGAATTTTTGAAAATGTATCAAACTTAAGTCTTAGTTTTTGAAAGACGAAGAATTTCTTCAAGCTCTGTCTTAAAAATTTCGCACTGCTAAAGCAGAAGACCTGAAGACTTGCATTTTTCACATCAGGATACAGAAAATGTAGCTCTACTGCTGGGAAAAAAATTGAATTTCTGGGTTAATTAGGGAATTTTTGAAAATTCGTCAAATTGAGGTTTTTGTTTTGGAAAAGCGGCATTACTGCAAGCTCGGTTTCAAAAATTCCGCACACAACAATAGTAAACGCTAGAGACCTGAATTTTTCATGCCAAGATACACAAAGTATGTCAGTGTTAATGTGAAAAAATTCGGGTTTTTCAGTTTGCTGACGATTTTTTGAAAATTTGTCATATTCAGTTTTTATTTTTGGAAAAGCGGCCATTCGGCAAGCTCTTTTTGAAAAATTTCGCACGCGCAACAACAAAAAGAGAGACACTTGAATCTGCCATAAAAGATAAAGAAATGAGTCGTTCTTTATGTATGTAAAAACAGCGCTTTTCAGTTTATTGGGCAGTTTTTGAAAAAGTCCCGTTTTTGAAAATTTACGCACTCCAAAAAAGTACTGTCTGTAAGTCTTTCAACTTACATTTTTTCTACGAAAATGAAGAAAATGTCGCTGTTTCTTTGAAAACTCGCTCAGTTTGCTGCGTAAACGAATTTTCTGCAAGTCTATTTTAAAAATTCAGAAGGATACAAGAATTTTGTATGTGACGGTAAATAAAATACATTTGAACTATTTTTTTACAATTTAATTGCGAAAACTAACATTTCCCGGTTATTTGGGAAATTTGTGAAAATTTGTCCAATTCGGGGCTTAGCTTTGAGTGAGCGGATCCGCTGCAAGCTCCAGTTGAAAAATTCCACACTCCTAAAAACGAATAGGCAGAGACTTCAATTTTTTACTAGAAGGTACCAAAAACAGTGTACTTTTTACGCGAAACAATTCAGACTTAGTCAGTGTACTGGGGAATTTTTGAAAATTTGTGAAACTCCGTGCTTAGCTTTAGACAAACGACATTTCTGCTCGCTCTGTTTGAAAGATTCCATCCTCCACTCCCATTCACCGACAGGATTCTTAGTAAATTCAGCTGAATATTTTACGCATTTTCTGGCTTTTTGTGCAAAACCCTACATGAAATTCCTCATCCTTCAGACCACAAGCGAGAACAACCTACCTGAATCAGTGGACGTGTTTGTGGGAGAGAATGAGGACGAAGATGTTCGAGCCGAACGGCAGAAAGTGAAAAACTTCATCGGCTCCAACAACGTAAACCATCCGGTCGTGATGGTGCAGGTAAAAGGATTAGAACGCTCAGAAACCCACAGGTCTGAGCTTGGGCTTTTGCAGGATTTGCACAAAGAGTACAAAAACAAACTGGCCAAAGGCAACCAGTACTGTTCCTGCTGCTTTAAGGCGGATGAACCCGAGGAAAAAATGAAGGTTGCTGTTAAATCTCTGTCACTCGCAGTGGATGCAGGCGAAGTCTTCGGCCTGCTGGGCCATAACGGGGCTGGAAAGACCACAACGATGAAAATCATCACTGCGGAAGAAGCTCCAACGAGCGGAAGAGTAGGGACAAACGGCTGGTGATTGGCTGGATTTATTTTGGTGTGTCCATTGCAGGTTTTCATTGGCGGGCAAAGTATCTCCTCGAACTCAAACTCAGTTTTCCAGCTGTTGGGCTACTGCCCTCAACACGACGCCCTCTGGAAGAACATTACAGTGCGCGAACATATTGAGATCTACGCGGCCATTCGTGGAGTTTCCCATGGAGATATTGGAAAAATTGTCAATAGATATATAAGGCGAGTGTTGAAAGACGATTTAACTAGTCCATACGGGACTCAATTTTTCCATCGGGCATTTTAGCGGGCTGCAAATTCAAGAACACGCAGACAAACAAGTGAAGATGTGCTCGGGCGGCACCAAGCGAAAACTCAGCTTCGCCATGGCCATGGTGGGAAACCCGAAAATTGTGCTACTAGATGAGCCCAGCACTGGAATGGACCCGAGGAGTAAACGGTTCCTGTGGGACACTATTTTAGCCAGTTTCCAGGTAAGGCATATCCAGCTCCCGGACGTTTTTGTTAACTGCAAAATTCCTCAGGGATCCAAAGGAGCGATCCTGACCACGCATTCCATGGAAGAGGCCGATGCACTCTGCTCCAGAGTGGGAATAACCGTCAAAGGAGAGTTAAGGTAAGTGCGGATTTTGCCAAGCAAGCTGAGGAGTTTTGGAGGATGGTTTCAGGTGTTTGGGCTCCACGCAACACTTGAAGAATCTGTACGGAGCTGGATACACTTTGGAGTTGAAGGTGCGGGTTAAGGAGGCCACTCCTTTGGCGAATTCGGGCGACAGACATCGGGAAGTCATCGACTTTGTAGCAGGTAGTTTTTCAAGCGCCCAATCTAGGGTTTTACACCTGAGTGGTGGTTTGCTTTCAGAACTCTTTCCCAACTCATCGCTAGAAGAAGTGTTCGTCGATAGGCTAGTGTTTAGTGTGCCTCAACACAGTGTGCCATCCTTGGCAAAGTGTTTCATGCAGTTGGAGAAAGGTAAGTCGAGTTCAGCCGTTTCAGGCGGCAAATTGTTCAACTGATGGTTTTTCCAGCTCGAATAATGCAAGGTTGCATTGAGGAGTACAGTTTCAGCCAGACCACGCTGGAGCAGGTTTTCCTTAAATTTGCCCAATACGACGAGATTAATGGAGAGTGAGCCACAATGACCTAAACATTTGCGATCATTCATTTTTCTATTTCCATGTCAGTTTTCACTGAGGATTTGTAGACCATTTTCTCCTGAAACCCGAGTTGGTGTCCAGGTTTGTGTTCGGGAGTCTGGCTTTTTACACTGTTTTTTGGCTTTTTCCGTTTTACTAGCAAACTCTTTCCGTCGCAATTTATTGCGGGGGAAAATGGTCCACAGTGATGGAAATTTGCAACACAATTTTCGTACTTTCACTTTGTTCTCAACGCTGGGGCGTATTTGCGCTTCTGCTGCTTGCTTCTAATCAATGGCGGTCTCAGAGGAATGTTTACTGGGGCGATTTTTTTCTGTTTGAGTTTTACCCAGATGTGTGCAAAAATGAAAAATACTCGGGACGTCTGGAAGATGAATGCGGAAGAAAATTACTCAAAATGTGATTGGTTTTACAAAGAAAAAAAACCTTTTATAGATTATCACCTTGTGACCGCCCCTGTTCGGCACCACCGCAAGTCAAGGCCCGACTGCTCTGACGTCACGAGAACCAGTTCGCTGTAAGAGATTCTACCGGTTCGGCCTACTTCTGACGTCAGAGCAGTTGGGTCTTGACTTGCGGTGGTGCCGCCTTGTCTCATTAGTTTTGAAACCGTTTTCATTGGGTATTTTAGCTCAAAAATTATGGTCTTTTGAAGGAGAGATTTTTCTCACATAAGAAGCTCGAGCCCTTTTATAAATCCGTAGTAAAAATTGGCAAAACTCTGTTTTTGTAAGACAGGAAAACTTTGGGGCAAAATACCCAACAAAACAGGATTGAAAAACACGAATCGGCCTTAACAATATAACTTTTTTTATCTGGAGAATTCATTGACAATATTGTCGCCCTTAAGCAGTCAGAAACTCTCGAAAAACTTGGAACAATATTGTCAATTCTGTTGATTCAATGAAAATGTAGCAAATGTCGTCGTAATACGAGACGAACAATTTTTTTCCGAAACCCTAAAGCAGCGTATATAGCTTGAATTGTAGATAAACTAGCTTAAGGTGAAACAATGTTAAAAGTGATATAGGCTAATATGTAAACCTTTAAAGTGGTTTCGAGGTTGATAGTGAGTGGGAAATGAGAAGTTGATCGTTGTTAAGTGCGAATACAGGGCCAAACAAAAAGTGTTTTATGTTGAATAATTTATAATTAGTAAAAAAATCAAAATTTTTATAATAATTCGAGTTATAACGATTGATAATTAGCATTTAAAAGCACACGCAAGGCGAAAACAAAGTTATACACACACATAGTACATAAATACAAATCAATAGATCGGTGCTTTTGTGACAAAGTGCTTTTAATATAATGAAATACAGGACGCAGCATTCCGTTTTTCTGTTGCTGATATTACTAGTTTTAGCTCTGATTAATTGTGATAATTGATTTGTGATTAATTTTCCGTTCACCTAGTTTTTACTGAGTTTTTCGTGGCGAGCTCTTCGAGCTTGTATCAGCACGTAGAATTTAAACTAGCTGCTAAGCGCCTTTGTATTTTTTGTTCATTTTTAACTGAAGAAAACATAATAAGAAATAACCAAATGCTACAGAAGTGGCTCTAACTGGAAACTTACCATCTACAGACGGTTTGTTCGGGATTATATCAATCAATTATGTACATGTATTATGTAGGAAACTGAAACTGAATTGAATACTAATAAAGTTGCTAATTTGTATTTGGTTTAATTTTTTCCAGTTTTTGTCTTGTGGACACAGCGAGAGGAAACGCATAAAACCCATGAAAATTATACTTTTGTAACTCTTTTTGCATTCATCTTTAGCCCGCATTATTCAGGTTGGCCATATGGCATGCCTCTGAAGGTGAAAGCCACTCGTGCTTGCGAAACGTTGAGAAGAAATTATTTTCCACGACGCCCTAAAAGCCCCAGAGACAAATTTCCTAAATTCTTCATCTCAAAATCCATTGCGTAAATCTGGTGAGTTTTTCGCCAGCAAGCGTGATTGGCTTCTTCAGAAGTTTTTCTTAACGAATCTAAACACTGGAAAGTAAACATGTTAATTCGACTCGAATAAGTGAAACTGATTTTCACACTCAGGAGCGTAGCTTGCAGCGGTTGTCTCACTCATACACATAGGAGTATATGAGTGRCGCYYRAWMGCCTGTRMRTCGCTACGTTMGARCWWGAKASCTTTCTCGMTTAAAATAAATCGCTTTWGAGCA